TTCAGTACCATTAATCAGAAAGCTTTAAATTAGTCTCAGCCAAACAAGTCCATATAATAGGGAGTATTTTATTGCTTTCCAATCAATGGTACCAAATCCTTGTTAATTTTATGTTTTTATCATTTAACTTTATACTATAATTTTCCCTTTTTGCTGAGGTATGATGATGGCCATTGTGTCGAAACAAGTAGCCTCCAGTAACAAGGCTAATACTCAAACTAGTTATCCTACATTTCTGAAAATTATTTAATATTGTTCATTACAATTTCTAGTATTTCTAAAAAGTTTAAAATTAATTATTGTGATATAATAGTTTTGATTGAATGTTTCCAATTAGAATCGATTTCTCAATTTAACCTAGATGGCTTCACCACCCACTATAGCAATGGTAACATTAACAGAAATGATGGTGTTGTAATTTTGGTCAGGTCAAATCTAAATGCAGAATTAAATATATTTAAACTGGAATATTCTGATATTTGTGTCACTAAAATAAATCTAAAAGTCAATCATCGGACCATTGGCATTACGCGTGTATACAGGTCTCCTCAAACCTCTGCACAAGCATTTATAAGGAATTTAGAAAATTTCATACCAAATCACCTAAATAGAAATATTCATAGGGGACATTAATATTGATCTCCTAAATGTAACCAATCAAGTAACTACTAATTACCAAGCAACTTTTTTCTGCCATGGTTTCATGTCTTACATAAACACTATTACGAGGTCACAAAGTAAAACATGCTTGGATCATATATTCTTAAAAAACAATATTAGGACTGAAAATCTATCAGTGAACTCTTATGTAATCAGCTATGATATGACTGATCATGATCCTATTATGATAAATATCGCACAATCTGCAAAAAACAACACAAGTTCCTACAATACATATAAAACTATAACTAAAATCGAAACTGATAAATTAAAACAAAAATTTGAAACTGTAAACTGGGAAAGTGTTTGCAATGAAAATCATCCAGAAATTGCAACACAACTTTTTTATGACATATCTTAATATCATTGAAACATGTCAAACCACTCAAAATATCAAAATAAAATCCATAAAAAAATAAAGCCATGAATAACAAATGGTTTAATTAATTCTATTAAAACTAGGGATAAACTTAAAAAAGATCTACTAAAAAACTATACTATTAACAAACAAACTCACTATAAAACATTTAGAAATAATTTAAACAAACTAATATCATAAACTAAAATGGACTATTATAACAATAAAATAAACCAAAACGAAAATGATCTGAAAAAAAAACTTATCAATTAATCTCTGAAGCAACTAATGAAAATCATAAAAAAAAATAATACCAATTTACAGATTGTTAACCAACATAATGAGGAATTTGAAAATGATAATGAAATAACGAATTACTGCAATAACTACTTTTCGACTATTGGCACTAATATGTTCACAAATATCCCTGAATGTAATGTGGATTTTCCTGTGTCACTGAAAAATCAGTGTTTCTGAAACCGATATGCGGAAACGATATTATAAAACACATAAATAGTTTAAAAAACAATAGTGCCCCGGGATTTGATTGTATAACAGTAAAACATCTGAAACTACTACATCCTACATCCGTATTTACTGGAACCTTCAATGCATATAATTAATTGTATTTTTAATACAGGAATCGTACCTAAACAATTTAAAACTTCAATTATAACACCTAATTATAAAGCTGGTAATCCAAAATTAATAACTAACTATAGGCCTATTAGTTTAATTAGTAATGTGGCCAAAATATTTGAGAAATGTGTGAAAGATAGAGTGACAGATTTTTTTAAAACTAATGACTTACTTCCCAAGCACCAATATGGCTTTACTGAGGGTCTTAACTCAGGAGATGCTATGCATGAATTGATTTCATATGTTACTGATGAAATGAATATTGGTAACAAGTGTATATATTTCTAGATCTAGCAAAAGCATTTGACACGGTGCCACATCAGAAGCTCTTAAATGTTCTTGAACAGAATAGAGTGAGGGGCATCGTGTTGAAGGTTTTTGAAAATTATTTGACACACAGACAACAGAAGGTAAAGGCCAGAGACAATGTGAGTAACCTTGGAAATATACAAATCGGAGTGCCTCAAGGGACTGTTCTGGGACCTATACTATTTAATTTATACATTAAGATCTTAACTCAGATTGATATTCAAGGTAAAGTTGTATCATATGCTGATAATACAGTGCTTAGTCTTGTGATAAAGATTGGGAAGCCGTCAAGATACGTGCTATAGCTGGAATGGAACATGTCAAAAACAGGTTGGATGTTTTTAAATTGTCTTTGAATGTTAACAAAACAAACTACATTGCTTTTTAAAAGACAGTGGCTGATCGACCTCAATTTAGAAGCTTAACATGTCAAAATTTAGACATACAAGAAACAGAAACATCCAAATATTTAGGTATAATTATAGACCAGCACTTAAAATGGGACTGCCATATATATAGCAAAAAAACTTAGATTTCTGATTTATTAATTTTATCTTCTAAAACAATTTCTCAACCAGGATCTACTAATAACATTATACTTACGGTCTAGTAGAATCTATACTACGGTATGGAATCTTAGTATGGGGAGGCCTATATGGAGCTACAATAAATCAGTTAAATGTTATTCAAAACAAAATCTTGAAGTTAATATACAAAAGAGATAGATTGTGTCCCACCATAACTTTATATAATGAAAAAATTAGCAATGTTTAATGTTTATATATTCACGCAGTGTATTGTTATATACAAAAAAATGAATTTTTAAAAAACCCTTTAGAACATAGACATAACACTAGAACTGCATCGAACATGTGCATTAAAGTACCAAAACCAAATAGTGAGTTTTTTAAAAACAGTGTAAATTATCTAGGGACAAAGTTTTATAACGCTCTACCTCTTCATATAAAATTATTAAACAAATATAAAAAATTCTGTAAAGTTAGCAAAATATACATTTTTCAAAATAATGCAAAGTTTATCAGAATATTCCAAGAATAACGAACTTAATACATGGATTTTTTTTAAATAGTTTTTTTTTCTGTTTCTTGCATAAATTGTTCAAGTTTTATTTTTTATTAAAAAAAAAACATTTTTTTTTCTTTATAATTCATTAAATATAATTAAAATAAAATTTTAATTTTTGTCAGCACATACAGGTGTTCTCACCTAGGTGCTTGTTATTATATAATTGGTTTCCATTATTGTACTTTATTGTAACTTATTTATTATTGTAACTCATTGTAACTTATAACTATTAAAACATATAACAATGTTTTACTAAAATTATCTAAATTTATGAGTAACTCTAAAAGAGTTTCCAAAAGATATTTTGACAAAATCATTACATCAGATAATTTTCCTTTATATTTATTTAATTATTTAGTACACCACTCAACAGTTTTTTTTACCCTTTCAGGCAAAAGTCTGCTCTCCGCTGAGGGGTTCCGGCATACTCCCTCAATCAGGTTTAAAATCTTAGTATTAGCAGCTATCAAATATAAAGCTTAAGTATGTTATTTATAATGTTGGGTAGCCCCCATTTAATTAAAAAAAAATTAAGTAGTTTTGTGGTACAGGTTTTGAATTCATTTTATTTTAATTTTTTAAACATGTTGTAAACCTTCTATGAATTTATCCCTGGTGGGATATGAATCTTGGAGTCACACATCTGAAGGAAGAAGCTCTAAAAACTGAGCCACTCACTCCCCAAAACAGAATTAAAAAAAAAAATGTTAAATACAATTCATAATATTTTCACTAATATTATACAACACAAATCTATATCTGATTGCATTTAAATTCATATTTAGAAAAATGGATGAAGTATAATATAGATTTAGCAGGCATGGCCAAACTAACTGCTTATTGTCACAAAGATTTTACTGTCTGGTATTGAATTTGAAAAAAAAAACCATCTCTGATATTTATTGCTGAATTTATTTTAACACTACCTATAATTTGTGAATTTACAAACAGTAGAGCTTCTTAAAATGCAATAAAACAATAAGGTAAATTTAAAACTTATTTATCAAAATACAAATATTACTTCAATAAGTTTTCATGACATAAAATTTAAGTATTTGAAACTATTTGTAGAGAAATGTTGAAAACGAATCAAACAATAAAGGTAAATAAAACACTATTCTTAGCAATTTACAAACACTTACAACAGTTAAATTACAAGTATTTGAGTAAATAACATGAAGAATAATTGTCTCTTCTCCATTGTTTGCTATTAAAAAATAAAAGTGCGAACCTATAAGCCTACATGATATCGATAATAAATTACGATAAACTGATTGACTAGATTGATATCATTCCTTAAAAATAACCACTTCATTAAAAAATAATTAATATGACAGAGTGGACTGAGAACATATTTTCTGTTTTTACAGAAAAAATAGTAATTAAACCCTTCAACCCCCAGGAATTTTTTCCTCAATGTTATGGTAAGTTACAGAACTAAAATTCTTCTTAATTTATTATGTATAAATCAGCTATGTAACAAAATATAAAAACTAAGTTCTTGTCATTATATAATAAAATTATTTCCAAGTATGTAAAATGCTTACTCAGATATGTGTTTAACAACAGTGATATTTAATACTTTTAATTTCAAACTTGGATAATAAAAATGAATAGGACAAAACACACATTAAAGTATTGATTACAGAAATAAAATGATGACAGATACATTTTTCTTCTCCAGATTGTGGGAACAGAAAAATATTCTAAAGATAAATTAAAAAAAATTTAAGTGTATTTTTCAGAGCCTTTTTATTGAAGATATAATATTTAACCTACCAATATATTAAATAATAGGAATAAGTATCTATTTTTTCAAAATCAAATACCTAATAAACAAAGATAATTAAAGATTTAAAAAACAAGAGTTGCAAAATAAAAATTACTTTTTTTATTATTTTCTTATATTATTTGGTTTTAAATTAAGAATAAAAATAATTTGTTCTACCTGGATAATCAGAAACTGTACATATCCCTTCAAAATCCTTAAAATTGTAACTGGCAAGAACAGTATTACTAGTGGGATCTAGTTGATCCAAAGAATATGCTGTAACTTCTAATATAACTGGAAGTCTTATATCTGACCAGTGATGTTTGTATGCTTGATACCTCTAAAAAAATATTATTTACCTACCCAATAATATAAAAAAGGGACAAATATTACCAGCACTTCTTTGGGTTTCTCTGAAAAATAATTTCTATATTTGAGAGCCTCTGTTAAAATGAATGTTCTGTGTTCAGATGAAAATGTCATCTTATCAATTTTTCGATCTTTCTTCATAGTTATCTGAAATTCACATTGATTTCCAGTTTTTAGGGGAGTGATAGCGATAAAATCATTGTAAGCCCATCTATTTGTAATTTCTAAATTGGGATTATAGGTAGTAATACCTTGTGTACCGACAGAAAATATTCTTTTGTATCTGTAAAAAAATTAGTATTAACACTAGAGTCCCATAAATAACGACACTTCACTAACTTTCCCTTCCATGTTGTATGTTTGGTACAAAAGAAACACGCAACATCCTGGTTATCCTTTACAGGCATCATCTTGTTAAGCTGTATCTCTACTATTTGAATCAAAGTAAATATCGTCTAACTCCAACATGTATATTAAATTTTTTCCCAAATAAACCAACCGATAACTGTCACAAGCAGCTACGCCAAATAAGCCGAAGTAGCATGAACTTTCAAAGAAGATACAAGTTTTTCTCATTCACAGAAACATTTTGGGGGTGTCAGCTGTTGATTACTCAAATGAAAACGAATGTCAAATCAAAGTTTTGACATATGACACATAAAGTGATGCGTTTGTCTGTCTAGTTCTTTAGGTGGGTTCGATTAGTAGGAGGTTGGAGCGGGACAGGAGCAGATTTTATTTAGGGAGGATTTTAATTCATTTTTAAATTTTTGAATGTACATATATAAGCTACCAAACGATATTAATTTTATAATCAACAAAAAATATTATGATAAGATTTTGTATACGCCTTTTATTAATGCATACTTTTGCCGCGTTTGAGAATCCACATCGGATGCATTTTTTACATCTCAAGCGTTTATTTATCCACATCGGAACACTGAAATAATATAGTTCAGTGCATCGGACACATCTATATCTGCGTTTGTTTATCCCAGATGTACCTCTAGTGGATATCCACCATGGAGGAAGGATTATTAATATCCACGATGGTTTGCGTTCGCGCCTATACTTTGATATATTTAGTGGATGTTCATGGGATATTGAATACACCTTAAAAAAATTAATTTTAAATATCTGAACGGTGCTATTAGCTACAATTGCGTAATTTTTTAATAATTTGCTATATAATTACTATTATTTATGGACATTTGCATGTCTATAAATTACATCTCATGGATATAAAATAGATATCTACCATGGACTGGACATTCACTGGATATTGGGATGTTCAGTAGATATCCAAAGGATTAAAGGATTTGGTGTGCTGTCTGGGAAGCCATACTATGGCACTCGTTGCGGATAATTCATGCATTTTAGGGCGATATTTTGTAATTTTGGCATATCAAATACACGTATACATTTTACTTTTTTTTTAAGTAGGTAAAAACAATACAATAAGCAACCGGAGTTGCTGTGTTGGATATTGTAAAAATACTAGCAAAAAACAGTGTAAATTATAAAAATTTTCACTAGCAAAGTGGAAATTAAACCAAAGAAATAAATGGATAGGTGTAGAATAAGAAGAACAATTACCTTCATTTTTGTAATAATACTGAAAATAGTACACATCAAAAACTTGAAAGGTTTTAGATAAAATGAAAATATAAATAACAGTCCTTCTGTTTATACATTTTAACTTCACGGTATTATTTAATAGTATTTTTATTTTGACAGAATAGGTTAATTCTTCAAAAACAACTTAATAGACTTAGGCAACTTCTCATACATTTTCCCGTAAATACTGGTTGCCTGTCTTTATTTTATTATTGATTTTTATTGATTATACTTAATTTTTTTTAGTTTAAGCGATACAAATATACAGGGTGGTTTCAAAGTTGAGTCATTTATTTTAACAGCTTGTAGAACTCGTCAAAAGAAGTCGATATACCAAAAATCACCTAAATAAAAGTTGCATAATAAGGGAGTTATAGGTTTTTTTTTAAATTAAAAACATTCATTATTGGTCAAATGTATTCCATTTTTACAAAAATTGTTCAAAATTGTCACCATTTGTCCGATTAATGCATAGTCTTGCTCGGCGTACCCACAACTTCTGACAGGCCTCAAAAATAAAATCGGGATGTCCGCGAATAACATCACAAGCATTTACAATGCGGCCTTAAAGTTCTTCCACAGTATTTACTTCTCCATCATGATACACCAACTGTTTTAATTAACCCCACAGAAAAAAATCACAAGGCATTAGGTCCGGGGAGCGTGCAGGCCAAGAAACGGGTCCATTCCTCTCTATCCATCTATTCGGAAACTGTTCATTTAAATATTCACGAATTCCTCTTCTGAAATGCGGTGGAGCTCCGTCATGTAGAAACCACATATCCTGCCTAACATTCAGTGGAACATCTTCTAATAATTCTGGCAAATGGTGTCGAAGAAAATCTAAATAAATGTCACCGGTTAGCCGAGGTGGAAAAAAGTATGGTCCAATAAGCATGCCATTTACTACACCAGCCCAAACATTTAATGAAAATATATGTTGGAAATTAGATCTTCTTACGGCATGCTGATTTTCTACTGCCCAAACATGATTGTTGTGAAAATTGAATATCCCATTTCGTGTAAATGTGGATTTGTCTGTAGCTAAAATTATTTTCGTAAAATCTTCATTTCTGTTCAACTGTTGTAAAAACCACTGGCAAAATTCAACTCTTCTAGGATGATCTTCAGGTTGTAATGCTTGTACCCGTTGATAATGATAATATTGTTCCTGTCGTATTTTCCACACTTTACTATGGGAAACATCGACTTGAGTTGCTATGGCTCTGGTACTTATTGTTGGGTCATCTTCCACCATTTCTAAAATATTTTCCACAATTTTTACCATTTCAAGTGGAGCAGGTCTTCCAGCGTGACCCCATCGTTGTTCTTTCAAGAATCCTGTCTCACGAAGTCGAATAACTAAATTTACAAACATCCGTGGAACCGGAAGATTTCTTAATGGAAACCTTTCCGCGTAAAGGCGACATGTCCACTAGTTCATTGTTTCCATAAACGTGGGCCATTTTTCCGTAGAAAATATCAAAAAAAATAAAGTGATACGAATAACTAAACGCTTAATACCAATAACTAACCGAAAATCGTTCTCAAAACCGTAAAACAAAAAAATAGCCATACATAGATAATTAAAATTATTGTCGTAGTAAACAAACAACGATAAGTTTTTACTTGGCAGTGGTCAGGAATATTAAAATATGCGGATAAATAGTTTGTATTTGTTTTAGTTTTAAAATTTTGAAATTCCTTTTTATTTCTCTTAATATGCAACTTTTATTTAGGTGATTTTTGGTATATCGACTTCTTTTGACGAGTTCTACAAGCTGTTAAAATAAATGACTCAACTTTGAAAACACCCTGTATAATAATAAATTAATGTTTCACTTGTTTTACAAATCTATATACTTTTATTAAAACCAAGATATATACTTTTTAATTACGAATTCTATTAAAAATTGTATTGTCAGTATAGGCAAAAATAGTCCATTAGTACATAAATGAATTGGCGCTGCTGTTACACACGAGGCGAATAGATATGCCCAATGTTTTCAAATAAGACAACATATTCCAGAGCTCCTTATATATTATCACAATTGGTCGAAATCTATAATATATTTAACACACTACTATATTTTTGTAATTTGATGTCCCCATTGAGAATAAATTTTTTCATCTGCTATAGTTTTAATCCTCACGTTTGGCATAGGTTTTGTCATTGTTTCTCTCAGTACCATTTTAGAGACGAAGGTTAATTATTTTGTCTACAATCACTATCTGAAGTAGGCTTTTGCGCTTCAAAATACAACCGCAACGTTGACGTTCTCCGCGAACTGACTTTAATAAAAGTGACAGCTTTGTCGCTCGCTGAGTGGAAAACTTGACAGCTTTGTTGCTCGCCTAATTTAAATTAGATATAATATAATATTTCTTTTTAATAAATGATTTTCAATTTATTTGTACGTAGTTTGATGTTTTTTTTTTGTTTTATTATCCAAGTTAACATTGACTTTGAATATCAACTCAGTTTTTCATGATTAACTTAGATATAGGCAACACATTTTACACTACTTACGACAAATTTTTAGTTTATATATCTATTTCTTAAAATAATGTGATCATTTTTCGTTCTTATTACACAAATAGCTATTTTCATATTATTATGTACTCGTGTTTTGAATATACAGGGTGTCCTAATGAAAAGTAGTCCATTTCCAGATATTATAATTTTTAAACAAATCGTAGAAACGTGTGGTTTTTGCTATAAGTTTTGCTTCAGTGACACAGAAATTATGTATTACCTATACAGGGTGTTTTTTAAAAATCTCCGCTTTTAAATTCACCGTAACCAAATTTTATCAAATGGAAACTGGCTAATTTTCATTGGGACACCCTGTACTATAAACAACTTATTATCATTTATTTTTAAATTGAAATTGTAAATCATACTTTTTAACGAAACTAATAAAAGTTAAATCCTATGTCCACAAATAATTGAGAGCTGATGCCAGTTATTAAAAGAGGACCGCCAAGGTTCAAGATAAAAAAAAATTATGAAAAATATCAATGAAATCTCAGTTTCTTTCTGTATGTATATATTCCATGGGATGTGTTCAAAAAATTGCGTCAACATCCCCCAGTTTTTTTTTGTCAAAATCAAAAATAATTTACTAGAATCATTTAAAATCTGCGTGGTAATAAAAAGATTGACTTCAATTTTTTTTGTGTGTAGTTATTTGACGGCATACAGTGCATTATGCAAGGGCGGCTCGTGACCAAAATTTTGGGGGTTCACAGTAGCAGAATATAGATCCCGGTACATATATAGGTAAAAAACTGTCAGTGTTTTAGAATGGTATATTATAAACTTTCTAAAATACTGAAAGTTTTTTCATACATCTGTACTGATACCTATATTCTGTCACTGTGAACCACCCCACGAGCCGCCACTGGATGTGAATATTATGGCTGTGAGAATGAATTTCTATTAACAGCTCTCATAAGATTCAAGCCGGACTTTATTTTTAAATTTTTAAAAAATATTAATACAAAAAATAACATTTTCTAATAATCTTAATAGGTGTATAGCAGGGGCAGAAGTTGGAAAGGCTTTTCGCAGTTCCCCCACTTCATAGGCATAAATTGACAGTTTTGCGGCGGATCTAACCGAAGTCGACGCGATACATTAGTGTAAAAATTATTTTATTGATGTTAATAATAATTTCGAGTAAATAGCTTAATAAATTGTGAATAGCTATTGAAATTTTGTAGAATTATGATTTGGATATTATAATACATGTTTAATAATTATTTATAGTCCATAAATACATGCGATTGTCCGGTTTCGCCAGTAACAATTTAAAATTACTTATTCTATGAAACGACTCTGGCAGGTAAATATTTCTGCGAAATTCTCAAAGTCCTCCGACGTTGTTTGACGTTTACCCCCTCTCTACCTACCAAAAGCATTTCCAACTTCTGCCCATAATTTAAACAAAGGCTTTATTTAATTTTTAATATTAACCTCATAAAACTATTATTTTTTTAAAATAAACAATTTAAAAATATTCCTCCTTTGGAGTAACAATATTTTTATTATGTTGTATAGCTTCCAAGTTAATTTTGAAACAAGAAATCTCATTCATTTTGTTATGATTGCTGAAAGAATTTATCATTGTTCTAAAATTTTCGAGGTCTTCTAATGAATTTATCTTATTTAAATGTGCGACAAATTCGGCCTTAACTAGTTCTTTCTTTTCTTCTAAATATTTTTTTTTATTTTCTTGAGTTTGGGCATTATTTATTGTCATCATGGTGTTTTTATTTGTTTTTGAGTGTTCAGGTTCTAAAAAAGAATTAATAATTAAACTTAAAGCATATACTTATTATTTATAATGATTGCTTCAAGTAAAATAAAATATTTAAATCACAATATAGCTTTTTGTAAGAAGTAAATATGTTAAATAAGAAAGGATATGTGATTTGTTAATGCTGGTTTTAAAGGATTGGACATTCATGTTATTAGGGAAAGCTTCTCTCTAGGTACTTATTAAGAGTTTTACCTATGAAATTTGGAGTACCAGAATTCTCTTCCAAATTTATATTCTCATTTGTTGAATTAGTTTTTGTAATAGCAGTTGAGTGACGTTTTAAACAAATTTGAATATTGTGAAGATCTTTTTTAGTTAATAAATGAATCCTCTTTATATCTACTGGATCTGCAGATTGTTTAACTTCATCAATGATTTCATCATAAGGAATTCCAGCTTCAATTTTTATGGCCAAATCTTTTCTTTCTGAATCAGATAGTTGTATGCGTTCTACTTCTGCCTCATGTCCTATATGAGTCTCGATAAAAAGTATGTTGCAGTTTCCATTATTATTTTTTTCCAATTGTATACTTGCTGGGCAGTAAGCATTGATTTTATTGCTTCCTTTAGATTTTAATTGTCTGATACCTTTACCTGTAATCAATAATAAAATATAAAATTTAGATTTTGAATAATTATATTCACTAGTTACCTTTAGGAATATACGAACCAGAACGGTGACAACAATAATAAACAGTTTCATGGGACTCTGAGTTGTTAGAGATTTTATATTTTGAGTTTCGTAAATATCTAGAATATGTTTTATTTTCTACATCAGCCTTCCAATTCAAAAACTCTTCTAATGTAGAAAATTCTAATTTTCTAGACACAATATTAATAAAATGAGTGTCTTTAAAATGGCTCAACATTTTTAGTTTATTAAGTCTAGAATAATCACACAATGGACACTTTTTCTTAACAGATTTGTTTATAGAAGATGGACTAGAATGAATTTTTTGATGTGCTTTAAAATGATGTTTGTGATTAAAATTTTTGCCACAATCACAAGTAAATTTAAATTGCTTGCTGTTCTTGTGGTACAATTTATTTAACTCTGTTTGTTCAGATGGGTGGAATATTTTAATATGTTTTCTAAGATTCGAGGGAGAGCTAAATGATTTATGGCAAATTGAGCAGTTAACCATGTTTTAGTTTCATCAGTGTAAACTAGAGAACGTGTCTTTTTAACTTAATTTTATTTTGTTTGTTCCATAATCCAAAACCAAATAAACATCAAAAAAATAACCTAAAAAACAGACAACAAATTTACTTCTTCTTCTTTTCTTTTTAAAAAAAAAATGTATAGAGAAAGTAAAAGTTGAAAAGTCTTTTGGTAGATAGAGAGGGGGTAAACGTCAAACCACGTCGGGCGGCTCCGAGAATTTCGCAGTAATGTTTACCTGCCAGTGTCGTTTCATAGAATAAGTAATTTTAAATTGTTATCGGCGGAACCGGACAATCGCATGTATTTATGGATTATAAATAATTATTAAACATGTATTATAATATTCAAATCATAATTTTACAAAATTTCAACAGCTATTCACAATTTATTAAACTATTTACTCGAAATTGTTATTAACATCTATAAAATAATTTTGTACGCCAATGTATCGCGTCCACTTCGGTGATATCCGCTGCCAACCTGTCAATTTATGTGTATAAGGTGGGAGAACTAGCAAAAGCCACGGCGCACTATAAAGGTGTTTCAACTCCCTGAAAAAAACATACCAAAACCGGTCGTACTTAGGGCAAAAATCCGCTAGGTTTGTTAGTGTCGTTACGGCGGAAAATTGCGGCAATCTTTTTATCTGTCAGAAAAAGTGCAATCATAAAAATAGTTCTTCTATGGTGAAAATTCGACTTTATATGAAATGAAAAATGACAAAACTATCAGAAGAAGTACAGATGAAAAAATTAATGGTCAACAAATAAGTTTATTGTTATTGATGGTTGCTTATAAGTGTTTTTTTTTTAAACAAGCTACACTGATGTGTGCGTTTATACGATCAAAAAAAGTGTTCAAGATTTAATAAATATGCTCCAATTAAGTTACAAGTTGCTGCCAGAGACTTGCTACTAAATAAGTGAAATGGGGGTGTTTATAAAAAACAGCTGATTTTGTTTTGTGTTCAAATATTACCTTTGGTTTTGGCAGAAACAGCAATACAGTGGGTTACTGATTATAAAATGAAGAAGTGGACCTTAACTATGGTACTCAGATTGAAGCTTATTATTTTTAAAGTGAGTTTTGTGATTTTCATTGCCCAGATTAAAGATATTCAATAAACATTTAGTTTTATACCTACTATAATCAAATCCATACATAGAGATTGGAATTACAAACATTTCTGTGAAATAGCATTATACCAGAATAATGAAGTCTCACTGGACTGGAGTATATATGTTTCCAAAGATCAGTAAGTACCTATATCAATTATTATTATTATTATTTTTATTAATAAGTATCAGTAATAAATATACATCTCAAAGAATAACAAGGTTGTAACTGTACTTTTTGGAAAAAAATGAGATTGGTAGAATATATTAATTAATTTGTTTTTGTGACCAATATGTTCATCTGTTAATTATCAATGTTGTGTTATCGAAGTACTAAAGTTATTCACATGGTTCTATCTGCATGTACATAGAACTTATACAGTTTTTAGCAAGTGTCATTATAGTAGTTAGATCTTTGTTATTCCCTAATCCCTAGCAAATTTAGTCTCCATCCTCCACAATTATATTAAGATTAAAGGCCAGGTTTTTACCTCTGAATAAAGTTAAAAGTAACTACTTGCTGATTAGGCTATAGATTATACTTATGCGTAACTTTACTCAGAGGTTAAAAAATCTGCCATTAAAAGAACAGTGAGTTTTAGAGCATAAACTGTATTAAATATAATGGGTATTTTTTTATTAAACTTTTTGTTTTTAAACAGTTTTGATTGAAAATTATAAAGAAAATGATAGAGGATACCTAGAAAGATTTATAATATAAAACATTTAAAAATTCTGAATTAACAAAAGTATGTATTTTCTGTTCCAAGCCTTGTCTCTGTTACCTAAACTAAATACTAGAAACACAGTTTTAACTGGCAGTTACTACTATGCTTTATCAAATATTCTAAAAAATGTAGGTCGCTTAGTTCTTTCTGCATTTTTATCACTTAAGATTTTCTCTTAAATTAGAGTTAAAAACACAATGAAAATCAAACAAGTTAATGGCTACACAAACTTCAACTCCAAAAAATAACTACCTGTCTAGATACAATCTTGTTATCCTAATATGACAGATGTAGAAGATTTATACAAATGTGAAAAACGTTTTACGTTCTGCAATGCTAGATGAAATCTTTAATTAGGCATCAAATTTGTAAAATGTTAGAGATAGTATGTAGGTATATAGGGAAAATAAAAAATATAATTATAATGAAGAGTAAGAACTTTTAAATTTTAATATAACTAGAACAAAATATTCAGTAATTAAAAATTTTGATAGGAATTAAAAATTTGCTCGAGTATAAATGTTGTGCTTGGTTTTAAGTGGTTTTGATTTACTTTAGGTTTGTTCCAACAATGCTCAGAAATGAGTTACTGACATCAGGATTCTGCACAGTAGTTTATTGAGACTGCAAAATTGTGTACTACCCAGTGGTTTGTTTCTGATCGTTGGAACAGACCTTTTATTCAATAAATAATCGAACAAGTTAAATGTGTATTTGGAATTTTTTTAATTTTACAAATCTGGAGCTTGAATATGGATTTTCAAATTATGCACTTTTTGTAGTTTTTAATAATGCTTATTTTTTTTTTTTTAGTTTCTTGTTCATTTAATAAAGATGCTTTTTTTGTATATGGGGTGATAATTTTTAAGCAGAGGCGTGCAGCACCCACAAGATCACTGCCAGAATTAATTCAAATGGGTAATCTAAAAATATGGAGTAGGTTCCCTGCACAAGATTTTCAAGAACTTGTAAATACAATGGTTTAATGAATTATTGCCGTTATCAAAGTTAAAGGTGAAAATGAAAATTTGTAAATATTTAACCCTTTCAGTGTATTTGTCCCTCCAGAGGGACACTGTCTTAATTAACCCTGAAGTATACATCTGTTAATTTTGGTAGAATTTTTTTCTTTTTGGTTTATTTACTTTATTTGCATTACTTTTAAGAATTAATATTATAAAAAAATTATTTTCATAGTAAATTTTTGTTTTTGTAATGTCCCTGAACAGGGACGTTATGTCTTGGAGTAATAAAAAATACTATGAAAATATTTTAATTTACTTAAAATAAACAAAGAAAACATACAATCTACTACAATGGTATTTTTTTTAATGAAAGTGGAAGTGAAAGGGTTAAAAAAAATAAAAGAATTTACCAGATTTATGTATGATTTGTTCTTGTAGTGACAGTCACTATAAATATGAGAAGTGTGCTAATTGAAACGGGACAGGGCTCATATAGTTTTATTTAAAAAGTAAACCTTGTCATTAATTAAATATAAATGATTATTATATTATTGAAATATATAATATAAAACAAATTGTTGTAATGTTTTTCTGAAATCAGAAGTGTTGTCAGGTTTGTTACTGTCTGCTGCTAACTGTGACGTGTACAAGCGAACATAATAAACCTACATTAATATAAAAAACTTATAATAAATCTGGAAACTATACATTTGAAATTTTCCTACTTATTTTTTCATTACTGCTATTATCCAATAGAACAATTCCTATGCTTTTATTTAATATTTCATTTTCCACAAATACATATAAAAAAATAATTAGTAAAATTATAAAATGAGTTCCAATTAAATAATGAACTATATTATTAATTGAAATTGTTAATATAAGAAATGAATAAATTAAGAAAATATAAGTGTAATAATGGAAAATGTGTAAATTGTATTTATTTCTAATTTTAAATAATTTTGTGTGTATTGTTAATTTTCTTTCTAGTGTAAAATTAATAAATTAATAATTTTAACAAAAATTTAATGAGATGTTTTGTGTTAGAATCCGAATACAATAAGAATGCTGCTGTCATAATGATTACTCTGAATTTCAAATACATAGTATCTATAACTTATCAATAAATAAATATTAAGTTGTTAGGTATAAAAAAATATTTCCTATATTCCTAAAAGATTAACACTTCACCTCCAGTGGATAACTTCGGTAACTGTATCAGCAATACTTTCCACATTCTCGTCTCCTTTGAGAAGTAGTCCCATCATAAGTAATAAAAGAAGGAACAGCATTTTTTAGGTAGTTTTTTTTTATATTTGCACTGCACATTAAATAATGGTAATCTTATAATTGAAGGGTCTGGAAATGCACCATTCTTGTTCTGGCTAGTTCTGATAGTTGGAATCGTAACATATAGTTGCAAGGTTATATTTAATTATTTGGAACCAGGAAATAAGCATATTGAAATAACTTTTACTTTTTATCATGTATTTACCAATTTTTACATCGGTTAAAAATAAAAAAATGTAGATTTTCAAGTAATAGGATCGTTATTTCTAGAATTCTAGACTTCAGTGCGGAATGGTGTGAATATGAGGATTTCTAGACTCGTCAACTACAAGATAACCTTAAATAATTATTAGGTACATCAGAAAAAACATTGTTTAAATTATTAACCAGTGTATGTACAAATTATTCAATACACAAATACCAACATCTACGACCCCAAACTACATTTATTTACTTAAAGGGATTAACTCCTATAAAAATACAGAATTGAAAAATCTTAAATATTTCTTACAACTCAAATTTGTATTAATTTAAAATCAGTACTTCTAAAAGACCTAGTAAATACATTTAAAGAACTGGAACAAAACACATTCGGGGATGATTATTATTAAACAAATGTATATTTAAACACTTGAAAATAAAAAGGCTACAAGTAAAATAAATTTATCATAGTATCTATTTGATTCTTATAACCAGATACAACTTTATAGCATTATAATCAGGCTAAAAGGAATAAGTCAGATTTTATTTATTCACAGGGTCAGAAAAATATCAAAAGAAATAAGTACCTTGTGTATATGAAACTAATACCATGAACACAATAGGGTCCAAGTCATAACATTATTAGTACCAAGGGGACAGGATAAATAATACGAAATATTTATATAGTAAAACTTTATACTAATAATTATTTTTATTACAGAAAAGACAAAGTTGAATAACCTATTTACATAACCTACAATCATTTAAAACGTAGACATTAAACATATTTACTTGAAAAATAACGTTTCCTAGTAGATTTCTTAGCACTTTTTCACGGATAACATAACTTGCATTAAAATGTTTTTCACAAATGGAACTTTTGGGTTTAATGTTTATTTCCATACCACCTAAATAATTGCACCATATTCTGTATAACTGTTTTTTGGCATTATAAAACTGCTATCAATATGTTGAAGGCTCTCTCCCATAATCACAATTAAAAACAGCTCAACGATCCACCATGATTTATATATTTTAAGATTTTAAAAAATATTTATCTGTCAACACTTTTTAAATTGCAGCTCCTACTTTTATCTTTTGTTTACTTTCTCGCCGGATAGATACTAGCGAACCTAGCGGATTTTGGCTAGGAAGTACGATCGGTTTTATCGCCGTTTTCATTTGTTTTTAAATAGGAGTTGATACACCTTATAGTACACCGTGGCAAAAGCATTTCCAAATTTTACTTCTGTTCTATTTCTGGTTAGTGGCCACTTGTTCCTCTGTTATTCAGCTATTCTAAAACAGTTTCTAACTTTTTATCATCCTAAATATTTTTAAACTGGTTGTCCACTGGAAACGATGTGCCCTGTTCTCTATAAAATCAAGAATAATTACCATCAGGTCCACTGTATCGGACCATAGAAAAACTAAAACTATCGGACGATGTACGAATCGTTCTTATTTATCATTTTTCTGGTAAGTTGGTAAGTAGTAATCGAAAAAGCTTTGTGGGAAGGGAGTTTTCTTCCCAGAGTAGGCATTGGTAGCTGTTGGCAACATTGCTTTAATTCTTAAAAACGACCTTGACTATAAGTCTTCTATCTCATTCTTATTATCATAATTTATATATTCTCTTTCTTTCGATGGAATTTGCTTTGAAAATGTCAAATGAAAAGACCTTGAAATTATGAAATTGTCAAGTCCATTGGTGTCTTGTCTTGACAGTGACGTTTTTATTTACATAATTTTGTAAGTTTCTTCCTTTAAGTGAAAAATAGTGATAAATCAGAACAATTAACCCTAGAAAGGAAGTTACTTTATATTGCTTTTCAGTATTATCAATAACATATGCAGAGTCACAGTGTTAGTTTTAAAATAAAGTTACCCTAAGGTTGAATATGGATATGGTTGTTTAAAATTTTTCTTTAAAACTATTATAAACATTTGTTATACGTCTTTTGAATCTCATGTTTATTAAAGTGTTTAGGAACGCTTGCTGCTAACAAAACAAGGATTGTAAGTATTGGACTTTCAAATATACATATAAATTGCTTACATTCTTGATGCCATGATACAATTGACATCTTCATTCTAGAAAGTAAACTTCTTTTCAGATCCGTTTTTACGACCTAAATTCCATTGGTTACAGTTAATAAAAAATTATCATTAAATATTTGATAGTATCTCTAAGGCATTTAACTTTAGGAATAAATTCCTAAAATACCTCAAGAGTTATATTCTATCTCTTGAAACATATTGCTGTTAGGAAATTACTTTCATTTAAAATCAGACAAAAGTTTTTTAAGTCAAGTGCGCTGTTTTATTCTTAAAAATTACTTAAAGTCAAAGATAATACAGCCAAACAATGTTATTTATTTTCAATATTTAATTATACCTATTGACTGCAATTGATACAGGTGTTACATATGAAGTATAAATTTAATAGGAAGCTATACAAACTGTTACACCTTTGAAGGTGATATATTATTATAGAGTAAACATGATTTTTATATAAATTGAGATAAATGAATTGTAAGTGCAATTTTAATGTTAAATTATGACATTCAAAATGTAAAAAAAAACATTTATAATTTCTTATTGTTTTCTTTTTTAAGTGGCAGTTAATATGAAAAATAAATGTATCATTAAAACAGTAGGTAAATAATTGCAGTCAAAAAGTCTTAGTGGAAAATTAATTGTAATTTTATTACCTACAATCCTACCATTCATAATTATTGATCTGATCAAGTTTCTTTAATTTTTTTGATGAAAGAGAAATGGTTGCTTTTGTTGCATATAATAACCAATATTAAGTAGCTACTTATACACTTTTTAGTGGTTGTCATTAATAAAAATTTAAGTACATTTATGGCCCATATTTATAAACAGATCTCAGCTGAGTTGGACATGGCTGGGTTGTACTTGAACGAAATTTGAAGTTCAGTTATTTCACGTGAATTTAGAGATGGGTAGTAACAAATCCGTAAATGTACTTAACAGTTAAACATTTGCTACTGTCCATCTCAAAATTTCAGTGCCACACCAGAACCACCTGGAACTCTAGAGACGTTATAACTGAAGTATGATTTTCATTCAAGGATGACTGTGATACTCATGCAACTATATATTATAATTTAATATGTATCTCTAAATTATCTCGAAATATAATTCAGAATAATCTTGTTCAGGTGATTCACATAGCACACATATGTTTTTTGAAATTAGATTATTATCTATATAATTTGGTTGAACCGAAGTTGATATAATACTTTTAAAATGGCAACATTATAATGTTAATAATTTCATGAGTATTAAGTAAGTTGATTATACATGTTAGATTATTTAGAAAAATAAAAGGAATTTCAAGTTTGCTTTTAAAACTATCTCAAACATGATGATAAAAGTGCAGATATATCAAGAAAATACATTTTTTTTTTATTTATAAAAAGATGACTTTTATTTTACTTCATAATTGAATATTTTTAACCGTAATTAATGTCTTCTGAATATATTTGAATATTTCTAATAGAAAATTAGTTAGCAAACTATTGTCTTAAAAAAGAAAATACTGTGAATAATATAAGCACCCTATTAAAAAAAGTATCCCCATTAACTCACTCAATGTATTCTAAATGAAAAAGCATTTAGTAATTCATCCATTACTCATTTAATGAAAGTTTTACAACCCATCGGATCCTCATTTGATCTATTCATTGAACTTACTTTTGATATGCATACAGATAAGAATAGAAATCTTTATCTATCAGATAAAAATGCATTTGGATCAATATATATCTTTTATGTATTAGTTAATTGTGCAAACCTTGAATAAAACTTTATTATTTGATTAGAAGAAATAAAAAAAGTTTGTGGTTTAGTCATTTTACATATACATCAATTTACATTCTATAAAACGGAGAAAAAGTTAAAAGGTAAGTTTCTACTTAAATATTGCTTACTTACCTATATATTATTATCTTGTTAACTTTCAGAATATATACAAGTATGACAGGTTAGGAAATAATTATAAATTCTTCATAAAAGTTGACTATTGTGAAATGAATTGGATCAATAATAAAAAAAATATATAAAAATTTAATAGACCCGTATTTGTCACAACCTTAAAGTGCCCCTAATATCAGTTCATTGAATATATTTTTTATTGTTTGATATTGCAATTAAGGGATCATTGTTTCGTTTCAACACTTTATAATCTTAGATAACTATTTCTCAAATCTTGTTTTTTTATCAAATGAATAAATTGAAAATAATTGATATTCAATCAATAAATTGAATTGCAAGTTATTTTTTTAATTTTAATTGGTTTTCTGATAAATATGAAGAACAAAGAAAATTTCTCCTATTTAGATTTTCTAAGATAATACTTGTATTTACATACTATTTTGATTATTATAAGGCTGTTTACAAAATAACTAAAATAAGTCTTATGATATCAGTAGATCTTAAAAATAATAAAATGGAAATATTGATAAAATGCCTCTCATGCTACTTTAAACTTTTTGAGTATCTATTTGACCACATTATGGTTAAAAATATTGAATTTTTAAAAATTAGGAAAACTTTTTTATTCAATTTATGTCACAAATTCATTTGCTTTCATGTGAGATTTAAAATTAGAGTTTTGAAGTAGGTAGGTAATAATTCACATATTTTGAAATAATTTTTTTTCTGGTACCTGTATATTCCAGAAAATGGTTCATTTAGTGATATTCTAGGTATTACTTTAAAATATTTTTAAAAATTATCAAATTTGAATCAAAAATCTTTTTTATCCAATATACAAATTAAATTTAATGTAGAAAACATAAACAAAAAATAGTTTTTATAAATAAATAAAAAAATATAGGGTGTCTCAGAAATATTTATTTTATATTCCGTTCTCTGGCGCAATAGGCACATTTCCGAGAAAAAAGGCAGTTGGCAAACAGTGGTCAACAGTGTTAAGTTTTAGTTGCAATGAAGCAATTTAAGGAGCTGCAACATACTTTTTGTATTCGTGTGTTTTATAAAAACAATGATTTTTATATCCTTGTACATCGTTTGTACAGAAATCATTATAACATAGCAAGAATGAAAGATATCCCAAGTGCAAATTTAATTTCCAGTACTCTTAAACTTTATTAATCAATATTTAATTAAATTTGCAGTTATGACATCATTCATTCTTGTTATGTTTTTTATTTTATTTTACTATTTTATTTTACGGAAAATCTCCTTTTATAATTATTATCAGTAGATATTTTAAATCTAACCTAAAGTATCACACAAAAAAGAAAAAAACTTAAATATCACAAAAAAATTAGAAAAAAAAAACTTAGAGCTAAAGCTAACTCGATAAGTACTCCCTCAGCTGATTTTTAAACCTAAACCGACTAACTCCCAAAAGATCAGTGTGTCTGTTAATTTTATTTCCTTGCCTTTGAAATTTGGTTAAAGGAGTGTTGAGTCCGTAGTTCATATGATGGAAGCTAATTGAAAATATTGGTTTCTCTCTAATATTTATGTTGTTTAATCTAAAGTTTATTAGCTCCAACATATCCGGACAAACTATATTCCCTTCCAGGAGGTTATAAAGAAATAAAAGATCATTACTAATTAACGTTTTCTCAACTGACAATAAGTTTAAATGGTTATTAAGCTCCCTCTTAGAAAAATAAGGCATATGTAACCTCCACTGACAAGTTCTTAGAAACCTATTTTGAACTGCTTCTAAATTTAAAATATGAGTCCAGTAATGAAGTGACCAGACTGGTGAAGCATATAAGAGGATGCTGCGCACTAGTCTTAAGTAAAGGGTTCGGAATGTAGGCACAGAGAATTCCCTAGAGTTCCTGGTCACAAATCCCAATGTTCTCAGAGCTCTACTAATGATGGATCTCATGTGTGGGACAAATGTCAAAGAACTATCGAAGATCACACCTAGATCCTTGATTTCACTAGCTTTCTCCAAAACAGTAGTGTTGATATTATAAAGAAAATTTATAAGGCTTTTTGATCTTGTGAAGGTGATTGAAAAACATTTATGTGGATTTAAAAACATGGCATTATTTAAAGCCCAATTAATAAACTAGTTTAAATCATCCTGTAACTTAAAACAGTCAGGTAAGTTTAATATTTTCATGAATAATTTCAGGTCATCGGCGAATAGTAGGAATGGTCCCAAATGAGATCCCTGGGGGGAACCTGAACTTACATTTATTGTAATCGAAGTAAAACTTTTAACTTTGACATATTGAACCCTAAATTGCAGGTAACTTTTTAACCATTTCACTAAGTAGTTTGGAAACCCGAATTTCACTAGTTTCCTTAAAAGTAAATCATGGTTCACCGTGTCAAATGCCTTCGAGAAGTCAGTGTAAATTGAGAACCTGACACCCCCTCTAGAAGGCAGAATTGATATAATATTTTTGCAATACCATGACAAAGGTTTATATAACAATAATTCTAATAATTCAGGTATTGCAGAAAGTAAAACTACAGGGCGATAGTTAACTATGTCATCTTTCTGACCATTTTTAAATATGGGGGTAATGAAACTATCACGCCATTTTGCAGGAAACTGTTGTAGTTCCAAAGAGGAATTAAATAAAAACTGTAGTGGTTTGGAAAGACTGAATTTACATTTTTCAAAAAAAATAAGCAGGGATTCCATAAGGTCCATAACTCAATTTATCTTTTAGGGAGTTAATACCATCATAAACATCACTTAAGGAAAACTGTATAAAGGGAATATCAGGCTGGTTAAAAGCATTATAATGAAGGTTTGGCTCATCTACAATATCTTTCTTATAAACACTGGAGAAATGCGTAGCAAACAAATTACTGATGTCTTTCCCATTATCAGCAATTGTACCATTATAATACATTCTATTGGGAATACCATGGTCTTCTTGTTTCAAAGGATTAATGTGGTTCCAGAAGTATTTTGTATTTTCACAAACCTTCAGATCTATACCAGAAATATAATTTTCTTAATTTAGTTTTGATAAATTTTTACATTGAGACCGAAGGTTAGAAAAATTTAAGTAATCAACAGCTGAGGGAGTACTTTTGAATACAGCATGAGCTGCCTTCTTGCGAGAAATCAACTTTTTAAGTTCAGCTGAAAACCATCTAGGGTATACTGATGGTTTATATCTCCTAACAGGTACAAATAAAGCTAATGCCAATTTTAAAATCTGATAAAAAATTTCGACACTAACATTAATATCATTATTGACTAAAATATCCTCCCAATTAATTGGAGCAAAATAATTATTTAAAGCTACATAATCCGCTTCTTTAAAGTCATAAAAAACAATGTTACAAGACAAGGGACTAATATCACTGACACTTAATTCACATGAAATTGCAACATGGTGGAAGTTATTAGGCAATAAGGTGTCTACAGCTGTCTCGATAGTAACCGAATTCCTAGCGTCATTGTTACAAAAACATAAGTCAAGGAATATACCGTGCTGATTTGGAATTCCATTGGCCTGACTCAAATTCAAGTAGGAAAAACTCTCACTAATTATTACGGCTGGATATTCTGCAGGGCAAGAGACGGAGAGATCATCATCATACGAATAATTCCATGTAGCATGTGGAAGATTATAGTCCCCAAAAAGGTATAGCTTATTGTTAGGGTTGTTTTCCAATATGTGCTCAACAGCAGAACAATGATTAATATAAGCATCATGATTTAACCCTGGTGGAATGTAGACAGCGCCAAAAATAATAGTTTCATCATTGATCGACAATGAAACAAATAAATGTTCAACATTAATAAACTGAGTAGTAAGATGTGATGTTTTAAATTTACTTTTAACTAAAATCAAGACACCACCACCTCTGGTTCTTGAGCTAGTATGTATGTTCCTGTCTGTTATAATGATTTATGTACAAACGAAGAACAAGAACATAAGAATCATTGTTTTTATAAAACGCATTAATTCAAAAACACGATGTAGCCCATTGCAACTAAAACTTAACACTGTTGATCGCCGTTTGCCAACTGCCTCTTTTCTCAAGAATGTGCCTATTGCGCTAGCGGACGTATTGATAAACAAAAATATTTTATTTTTTAATTCAATTTCATCACACATTTGGAGTTTTAAAATAATCCAACAGTTATGGTTCGTTTCTAATTACTTGTGGCATTTTTAGAGATAATTAAAAATGGATAAGGTTCTAGTAACAGCTTACGTTAATATTTCTAATAAAAATTGGTTTTATAGATGATGCTGTTCCTATTGTTATCGCCATGGGAACTCCAGGCGATAAAACAGGCAGTATCAAAGAGGTAGTAGTGAAGACAGAACCTGAACTCACGCCTCCAGCACCAAGTCCTCAACAACCATCACCGCTTACTTTTCCAGTGCAGCACACCTTGTCCCCATCAGAACAAATCACAATTCCACATATTGGTGCTAAACCAGAGGCTTTTCGTCAGATTGAACTAGAACAATCTAAAATAGGTAAGATAATGTAAGTTAAGTTTTTAGTTTTAACTTAAATATGTTTGTTTTTGTTAAAATAATAAGATTAATCGAGTGCAGACAATTAATTTTTAATTTAAATTTATATTTTGGTGGTTTATACATTATTTTCTAGAACATTACTATGTACAAACAAAATACTATCCAGACCAACCAACAACAAGCTACAGCTCAAAACCAAAATCATTCCTTAGCAGCTCAGACCAGCCGGGTCCTTCAGGCTTACAGACACCAAAAACAAAACCTGTAGCTTTCCCGGTTAGTCCAGGTAGACTGAAAAGAGCAAGGAAGCTTCCAGCTCCAGAACAACAGGGTACTCCTCAACATAGAAAAATTCACCAATGCCCTTACTGTAAAAAGAGCTTCAGTACTTCTGAAAAGTTGGATAAACACGAACAAACTCATACTGGTAAGTTCAGTTTCAATACTTTTTAAAATAAAAACAAGACCATGAGGATTGACAATAGTTTAAACATGAAAAGTTTCATGTTTCACTTTTACCAAATAATAATTAATGTCATATTGTAATACAGGGTGAGTTACCGAAAACGGGTCTCCTACGTTCAAATATAATTAAGCGTCTCATCTTTATTTTGCTTGATGCATCGGTTAACGTACTGTGTGATAAAAACGTGTATTCTTTTGTGCTTTGAGTTTGCTGGGTGAATGTTAACAGTATTTCATTTAATTTTTATTAGTTAAGAGGGATAAAATGGCGAAGGATGTGATGCGTGCCAGTTGAATATAAAATAAAAATCGACTTTTATAATTTGTTTTCAACAACTATTTTCCTGGAAGTTATTCACTGTGGTTCGCTTTCAGTTGCTCAAACTGTCAGGGTCATTAAATCAGATTGGCGACCGGTCGTACCTTAAAGAAAACTATTCTGAAATATGACTACTATTATTAGTCTACAACTTTTGTTTGTCATTTTTTTGTAAAACCTATGGTTTAAAAGGTGGGGGAAGCAACAAAACATTTATTTTTATAAAAAATTTGGAATGAAGTAATTATATGACCAGTCGCCACAATTCTTCAGAACTTCAGTATATAAAAACGTATAAAAACTATATCTCACCTCAACAACATGGCTTCTATCAAGGTCGCTCGACATCAACTAATCTGGCAATCTATCAAGACTTCTTAAATTTCATCAATTGAAAATGGTTACCAAGTTGACACCATCTACACTGATCTGTCATGATTTGCTACTCAAGAAACTCTCCGAAATCTGTATGTCTGGTTCTTATTTTTACTGGATTAAATCTTATTTGAGAATTCGGTGTCATAGTGCATAATTCCGTATCATGTGACGTTTCAGTCCTATCCGCTGTTCCTCAAGGTTCACATATAGCTATTGTTTTCCTTATTCTTTAATGATGTTACGTTCTGCTTTCTTAATAGCCAATGCCTTCTTTTTGCAGATGATTTAAAGTTTTTTAGTAGAAACAGTGGTAATAACTTCGCATTATAGTCTGACCTAAACAGGTTTGCTACCTGGTGTAAAAATAACGCTCTTTCTATAAATATTTCTAAGTGCACAACCATGCACTTTATAAGATCCCACAATCCTACTCTTAACTGTTACAGTATTGACAGCGTCAACCTAGATAGATCTTCAACAGTTATTGATCTGGGCATTATTTTTGACACCACAATATCTTTTAACAACCATATATATTCCATAGTATGTAAAGCCCTCAGAATGCTTGGCTTCATCAAGAGACATACTAGGTACATGAATGACACAAAAGCAATCATGACACTTTACAATGGCCTGGTGAGAAGTGTCCTGGAATACTGTTCTGTTATTTGGCAACCTACTTACACTTGTCAACAGAATTGAAAGGGTGCAACGTAAATTCGTAAAATACCTGCTCTTTAAACACCGATTTCATAGCTAACATATGTTATCAAATAAGATTAATGCTTTGCGGCATGCAGAGCCTGGAATTCAGAAGAAAACAGGTTTACTCCTATTCCTGACTAAATTAATAGGTGGTTCCATCAAGTGTGGGTCACTGCTTGAGACAGTTCAACTATTGGTTCCTGTCGGACGGACTCGGCACACATCACTTTTGAATGTAAAAAGACACAGAACCAATTACGGACAAAGTGCATTTATTGATCGCTTATGCAAGAACTATAACAAATTTTACTCAGATTGTGATATATTTATTTGTAATATTTTGGCGCTGAAAAGGAACTTGCAACTCCTGAATGTCTAAGTTTTACTCGTGAAGTCCCGCGGTGTTGTGTTATTCTTCCTTTTCTTAATATTTTATATATATTTTTTAATTTATTTTATATTGTTTTTAACTCTACAATTGTTTGTGTTATGTTAGATATACTGTACTATTTGGAATTTTACATTCTGTGAGTGCTACATAAATAAATAAATAAACTTGTTCTAGTTAATATTTGAATAAATTAATATTTCATGTAAAAGTTATTTTTATCAGCTTGGTTTTAAATATTTTATATTTTATTGTTTTGTGCCTTGTATACCTGAAAGATTTTTACCTCACTACACAACAGTTTAAACTCTGTAGGTTGAAATCAAGCCGTTTAAATAATTACACTCAATTTAGAAAGGTTACAAATTAATATTATTTATTGTTGACTTGGTATTCACAAGTATTGATATTGAATAACTCGTATTATTTTTTCAGGTTCATCTCCTTTTAAGTGTGACAACTGCAAGAAGATATTTACCTCTAAATTCAAATTGGTCAGGCATGCTCTCATTCATTCTGATCGCAAACCTTTTAGTTGTACAGTCTGTGACCGCACCTTTCATCGCAAAGATCATCTCAAAAATCACATAAAAGTGCATAGTCCACAAAAAGACGTCTTCATTTGTGAAACTTGCAAGAAACAATATACTTCCTTACTTAGCTATAGGTAAATTACTAAATTTAAAACCGATCTTGTTAATCTTATATCAGACTACTTGTTTTAACATGAATATTTAGTCTCTAGTCTCATCCAGTGAAAGGGCTCAAGGATCCTTTTTCTTCCCTAATTTTGCCGACACTGGATTATACATATTATTAACGTTCGGAAAAAGACCTGAAAATTGACAATTTATAGTATGAAAATGTTATCCCCTCTGAATTGTGATTACATCACGAAAATTTTAAATTATTGCTGCACCTAGTTCGAAAGTGATTTTAATTCTCTATTCAGCAATATATTTTTAAATTGGTAGCATTCATGACATTGGTTAGGTTTTTCTTTTATCTCTTTTTGCTAAATTAATATTTTTTTTTAAGAAACTTGGAAACTGCTCTAGGATCTGTTTTTACACTGTTTAATAAAAAATTGTACCTACCTCAAAACTTTATGTAAAATGAAACACAGAATCTCACATAATATTCAGAATTAGTTTTACAATTAAATATCAAAATAACCACCAGTTTCTTCTTGACAATAAGCAAGGGGACTTTAGAATTCTCGGATGATATTTTGTATGACCTCAGGCATTATTTTTTTGGTTATCCTAAGTTTTAAATCTACAATATTGCTTAGTCTATTTAAATGCAGTTTTGATTTTAAATAACCCCATAAGAGGAAATGAAGACGGGTCAAATCGGGAGTCCGAGGTGGCCATTCAATCGTTCCATGTCTTCTAATGCACATATTAGGGAAAACTCAAATTAAATGATTTATAACTATACGTAAGAAATGCGATGAAACTTCATCTTGTTGGTACCAAATAGACTTGTCTCTTTCATTAGGATAATAACATCAACATAATTAAATGTAGGCAGTAAAAAGTAAAATATCTACGAGCCCTAACAACTATATGTTGGAACAAGCAAGTAGTTACAAACAAAAATAGTTTTAATATAAATTTATAATTCTTTTTGGCATAAACCGTAAAGAAGCTATTAGTAATATTTTAAGTGTCTTTTGACATACTAGAAAGAACAAATTTATCTTTTTTTATATTTTATTGCAATTCATTTAAATACTGAATATTCGAAAAGGCTGACAACTAAATGTTGGAACACAATTTAAAAAAAAGTTAATAAGATGTTGTTAGGTTAAAATGTGGAATGAGAGCAAAGATGTATTAACTTTAAGGAACAAGAATGGTTTTAAATACATAAAATATAATCGTTATTCAAAGGAGATAACTCCATTAAAACTCAGATGACAATTGACAATAATAAAGACTTTTGACATGTCTCATAAAGCAAGAATCATGACAGACAGACAGGTTTGCAACCTCAAAATATAATATTCTGACAGATGTAACATCCCCTTTTGCCCGAATTACTGCCTGGAGCCTATCAGGCATAGTATCGACCAGACCTTTGCAAACTTCTAGTGTAAAACTATCCCAAATTTCTTGCAATTTGGCACGCAATTGATGTTCGTTTCGCTGAGGATTGTTTCTTAAATTTTGTTTCATTTTGTGCCATTGTTTCTATCGGATTGAGATCCGGACTGCTTGCGGGATGTGACAAAACTTTAACATCATTGTCTCCAAACCATTTTTTTTTTGGTGTTTTCGCGGTATGACATGATGCACCTTCCTGTTGGAATATATAATCTTCATTCGGATATAATTTATCAGCACTTGGTAACAAGGAGCCTTCAAGAAAATTTTTGTATTTCTCTGCATTTACAGTCCCTTCAATAAATTTTAAAGTGTCCAATCTTTTAGCTGATATACATCCCCAAACTATAACGGCTTGTGGGAACTTAACTGTTCGTTTAATGCAGTCTTTATGGAAGGCTTCTGTCTTGTTTCGCATTATGCATTTATGATAATCCCCCACGCATACATTAAATTTAGTTTCGTCGCTAAATATGACTTTACCCTAATTAGGTTTAGACTACGAAATAGTAAATTTAGCCCAAATGTAACGAGTCTTTTTTGTTTCTGTCAGTAATGGTTTTTCTTTGGCCTAAAAATTTTAATAAATTAATAGTAAAAAGTTATGAAGTAAGTAAATATTAACCCATACCTCATAAAAGCATTGACCACCCTTTGTAACGTTAATTTTTGGCCGCTCAAATTATTAAAGGAAAAATTCGACTCGCCTTGTTTAAATGTGGATATACTTGCACAGCATTCTCGATAAACTTTCATCATTGTCTCTGTATTCCACTTTGCAGTAACTTTTTAGCAACGTATTTCTTCTTCCAAACTTACAAATTTTGAATAACGTCAGCCACTAATAGTGACAACGTAATTAGAGGCAAATAAATTCCATGCTAAAATAAGACTTATTGCAAACCTGAAATTTTTACATTAGAGTCCTTGTCCTTATATGTATTTCTAACCTCATTTTAAGTACATAATATGGAAGAGGCATTAGAAATTACCCTTTTAGAAGGTTTAGATGGCGATGATATTAATTATTTAATATTAAAAACTTCGAACTGATACGAATGTTGGCGAGCGCACCCGAAAACTATAAAGTTGTCACAAAGTGCTGTCCTTAAACATCCACAATTATGGACAGGCACAATCTTTATTAAAGTCAGTTCTAGAATGTAAGTGATCTGCGCATGTTCAGATGTCAAAATAAGAGCTGCACTAATAGTGACTATCCTTAAGTGCACTTGCAATAACTCTCTAATTCTTTAGAAATTTCACCCAGGTAAAACACTTTATGGTATTGCCGTATGATAATTTCGCGCACTATTCGATCAGTTGGCATCCCACGTCCCATTATTTTCAAAATAATTCAAAAACTATCTGGTTTGACAACAGTTTTGACAACAATGTAACAAGCTGTAGACTACATTTGATTTTATTACAAAACTGACATAGTCACAGCCATGGCGATAACATCGAAAAAAAGTAAGAAACGTGAAATAAACAATACGTGTTCCAACATTTAGTTGTCTGTGTTTTCTAACGTCAAAATGAATTAATTTCGAAAAATTAGAGAAAATATAAATTTGCTCTTTCTAGTAAATCAAAATTAGTCTGGTCAATTGGCAAAGCCAAGGCCATAAATTTTAAATAAAAAGAAATAGTAAATCAGAACGATAGTGAAAATATTAATAATTGCTTCTTTTTAGTTAAAACAAAAAAAAGTTATAGATTTAGATTAAACAATTTTTTTTTTTCGAAAATAATTGCTTGTTCCATCATATAGTTGTTAGGGCTCGTAGATACACTTCATAACAACTAAGCCTTCAAAAGATAAGTGCCAAGAATTTAATTGTTAATGATCCCAAACGTTCACTTTTTGAGGAAATTGTGTGTGAGGACCATATCCAATGAGGATTTTCTCTGCTCCAATATCTAATGATCTGTTTTCTTAAACGTTTCGTTTAAATGAAACGTCCCTTCATCAGAAGAAACCATTTTGTTTATGAGCTACAAACCTGCTTGCATTCTGTTCATCATTAATATACTGAATATTGTGTTGCATAGACTAAGAAAATATATTTTATATCAATCAGACATGATAGTATTGAACTTCATATTTTCTAATAAATCAGTTTTTGTAACTTTGCGACACTTTATTCCTATTTTTTATTTGAAACTTGATATATACATAAGTAATTGTAAACATTTTTTAGGAAACATTTAGCTTTGCATGCAGCTGAGGAAGGAAATTTAACATGTCAGATATGTCGAGACACATTCGAAAATAAAGAGAAAATTTTGTATCACTTAAAAATTCACGCAGGTAGTCGAACTGTCAAGAACCCGAACGAAAAAAAATTTAAATGTGAAGTATGTGGTAGGAAGTTTTTTACTAGAAAAGATGTTCGTAGACACAATGTTGTACATACAGGTATTTAACATATTTTTAACTAAAATCGTTTAATACAAATAGAAATTAGCTAAAATCTGTAGTGTACATTTGACGTAACCGAAATATGAACTCCGAAATTTAATGATGTGATTTAGACTTTGCATCATAGTCGTTCGTTGACAGCTCTTAAAAATTATTGTGAAATTTTCAAAAATGTCGCAGCATTTGAGGCTCAAAAGTCGAGGACTATAGCGAAATTAGAAGAAAATTGGTCGTTAAGTGAAGTGACTGTGTCAGTAAAAGTTAAGAAAAGCTGGCAAGAAGAACAAAGAAGACCTTTCAGATATAGGAAAGGTATTTAATGAAAATGAAGACCATGCTCTCATTGAGTATATCCGTCAAAATCAGAACCACTGAGATAACACGGGAAGAAACGTTATTCCAAGGATCTCTCAGGACAGTTCAAACGCGTTTTAAACAAGCTGGCTTAAAAAACTGCACTGCTGCCCACAAAGTGTTTTTAACACTCTCACCGCGGGTGTAACATTAATGTACACCCTGTTAGAACAAATATGTAACATTAATGTACAAAAACAACTTTTTGTAGTGAGCTGCAATGTAACATTGTCGTTACACCTACAGTTGACTTTATATGGGGAATTGATTTATAGAACTTTGGCCTCTGGCGATTCTTAACGATTTTATGTGAAAAAGGAATATGATAAAAACAATAATTTAGCACTGTTTTCATTTGTTTTTTTATTAACCTCTAAATGTTCACAAACAGTAACTGCTAAATTAGGATAAATATTTATAAATGTCTGAAAAATACTAAACTAAATATTTCACGAAACTTTAACAAAATATATGGGGAAAAACAAAAATATGAACTCTCCAAAAAAAAAACTCTGTATATGAACGCACAACGAATGTTTCTCAATAAAAGAGGATTTGCAGTAATGTGGATTGCTTTTACATTGTTTTCTATTGGTGTACAAAAATGTTACCCTTGGCGCAGGATAGCAATTTCCTTCTCAGGCCAGTGAACATTTTCGTACGCCCTACGAAATCAAACTAAAAAATAGAAGAAAAAAAACACCAAATATAACCTTATAATAGCAAAACATATATCAAATAATTAAAATAAGCGCAGGAGAGTCCAGTTTGCAAATTAATTTTTAATTCATGGAGAGGAGTTTTGGAGCAACGTGGTATTCCACGATGAAAAGACGTTTCAGCAGAAGACTACGAGTTTATTATCATAGAAACTCAAGATTCGAAGAGAATTATAAGTTGGGCACTAGTAATGGTAGGCGCGTTCCCTTCAATGTTTAGCTGTTCTGAAATGTGCTGGCAAATTGATGAGTGATTAACAGCCAAACATTACATAAACATCTAACTTGGTCTTACCATCAGTAAGATAATTTCTTCCTGTAAGTTTTATCTTTCAACGTGTAAGAAATCAGTTTGGTATACTCGTAAATGTTTATAATAATCTAAAAGCCAGTGGCGGTATTTTATAAAACTATATTCTTTTTGAGATGAGGGATTCGTTAGTTCAGCCGGCGGTTCCTGACTCACTCAGGTATGAAAGGTGTAAGTTCAACATCATAGTGACAAGGCTGCTACTTGGATATTTTACAATATTAAATTGTTGATATTGAAAAACAAAAATAATGGCAGACATCTATAGCGACTCCAAGGTTATGGCAAACACCTTTAAAAGTACAAAAAAATAATTTATGGTATTTTGACAAAGCTGAAATTTGTATATGATGTTAAGAGCAATCCAGTCCATTCTGACGTCACACCGCACGAATCTCACGACCTCCCCTTAAAGTATTTGGAACCTTGTTCGCTACATAAATTTGGCAATGTTGTGTGTCGTGTGCTGAAGGATAATCATATGCGCTAGTTCAGTGTAATGTCATTTTGGTTCCACTGACATTTAATTCTAACCAAACTTTTAACAAAAACATCAATAAATTTGACATATACGTTTTTACTGTTTTTATTTTATTTCAAAATATTGTTTACAGGTCATAAAAAATAGTTTAAATGTATGTAATTGGTAAATAAACGATTGTATATTTGATACATGCTATCTACTTACTTTAGGAATATATTTATAAAAGTGAAAAAAACGATATAATTTAGGTAAACATAACGAACAAAACGTACTCAAAAAATCTACTGTCACTTTAATTGTCAGTGGAACCATAATTACATCATCACTGAACTAGCACATTGGGTAGGGTCCGATTACAATTCAGGTATAATTCGTTGGCTATCGCCGCCTACTGGAGGTTAGCAGCTTGTTAATATACGAATGTAGGAATACTATTTTTAAACCAAACAACTCAAATATTTTTTATTTATTGATAGTTATAGATGATATACAGGGTTTCCCGAAATTAGACGGTCATATTTTAACAGCGTAATTTACAACCTAAAATAGTAGTAAAAGTTCATATAAACATAGGTCCGAAAACTTTTCTTTTCCGAGATACAGGGTGTTAAAGGTGAAGTCCTGATACCACACTTTTGTAAATATTTTCTAAACGTTTAAAGATAATTAGGTAAAATTTGTTACAAATACTTACCTTTTTACGCTTCATTTATTGGACTAAACCCCAGTTATTGATCATCTTCTTAGGTGGGTAAATTGCCGTATGTGTCTGTGTGTCTATATCCACCATAACTCATGAACCGATACACAGAAAAACACTAAATTTTAAACTTAAGTTTTATTTCTGCCTGACGTGAAATGATTAGATTTTAGACAAAGTCGGAACATCTGGGGGGGGGTACTTTATGGGAGGCCGTTTTTATATTTTATTGAATATATCTGTTATTTATGTTTGGAGAAGAAAATGATTCAAATAAAAGTTACTTCTAATATTATTATCTATAATTTTTGCTTTATGTCAAAATTTCCTGAAATGGTCCGTATTCGAGAAATTTGACAAAATGTGCAAAATTCTGATTTTTATGAAAATTGTTGAACTAAAAGTTGTTTACGATATCGATCTCTATAATTTTTGTTTATACATGATTTTTCTAAAATGGACCGTAATGGAAAAATTGTAGGAAAATTGCTAAATTTAAATTTTTCAGTATTTTCGTTTTCAATGAATAACTATAGAAAATGTTTCGAGGTGGATGTATGTGGAAAATGTATATATTTAGTTTATCCTCTAAACATTTATAGAGGTACTGCAATAAGTTGTACAAAATAACCAGAAAAAGCCTATAATAACTAGATAGGAAAGTCATGTGTTGGACACATCATATTTTTTGACTATAAAATTTGGAAAACCAATATTTTCTGTATAATAAAGCTACATTTGTTGCATCTCGCTAGGGCGCGCCATTTTCAAGAGAAAAGCATGTTACCTTATTCGAAAGTGTAAACAATAATTAGTAGGTCTGTAGAATTAGAAATTTTATTTTTTTTTTTACTTTGAAAAACCGGTAACTAAAGAAATTTTAAAAAATATTTCATCTGGACTTCACTTGTAACACCCTGTATCTCGAAAACGAAACGTTTTCGGACCTATGTTTATATAAACTTTTACTCCTATTTTTAACCGACCTCATAAAAGGAGGAGGGAGGTTCTCAATTCGTCGCAATATTTTTTTTTATGTATGTTCAGCGATAATTCTTTAACACGGTGTCCGATTTCAATGATTCTTTTTTTTTAGAAAGGGGGTACTTCAGGGGTGGTTCCATATAAATTTGGTCAAAATCTAATAATTGGGCCCATGAGAAAATCCTCAAACTCTTCATTTTTTATGTATGTTTAGCAATAATGCTTTACCACCTTGTCCGATTTATATGATTCTTTTTTTGGTAGTAAGGGGGTACCTCAGGGGTGATCCTATATAAATTTGGTTAAGATGTGGTGACGGCATCTGCACGTTTTTGAATTCGGTTTTTTTTTTAATTTCTAATACTTGTAGGATGTAGATTACGCTGTTAAAATATGACCGTCTAATTTCGGGACACCCTGTATATTGGAAATTCGAAATAATAGTTATGACGTAGCGGTGTTTTTCTAATTGTAATCGGACCCTAGGTATATGGATACGGAAAGTGATGAATTGGAGATAGGTAAATTGTATTTATTGTATTAAAGGAACAACAAATATAAGTACAAATAAATAAGTATATTAATATAACAATTTTTTAAAGTCTGTATTAAAAAAATTTTTTTTCACATAGAATTATTAAATTAAAAAAATAACTATTAAAACACGAAATGTTAATTTTTTCTCTTTTACAACACAAAATATACAATACTGTTGAATCAAAATTTTCTCTTGGCAGCAGGTGGTTTTTGTGACGCGACAATTATGATGCTTTGCATCTCATGAATTAAAGCTAATTCTCTTTCAATCTTAAGGTGATCATACCCTTTATAATTTTCGGACAAGAATATCTCAAAATATTTAAATTTTGGCAAAATAAATTAGGCAATAATATCTATAATATGCATATATTTTAATGTTTTAATTCCTTCCAGTTTCCTAAAAAAAAACTAAAAGGGCTTTAATTTTGAAATATCATAATGAAAATAAATGCATTCCTTCCTCGACAGCACTATTCTTAATATGATCCCCAAATTTAAGCTCCTAATGTCTTGTTAATGATTTCTTAAAATTCGCCAAAATTAGTGGCTAAAACGCTTCGTTAAGTGCTATCTTCTGGTGTAAACTGGTGTAAATTATTGCAAGAAACGAATAATGACAGAGTGTACGATACGATAGTTACAAGCGCGTTACACCCGAAGGCAGCACATAACGAGGCGTTTTAGCCACTAATTTTGGCGAATTTTAAAAAATCATTACCAAGACATTAAGAGTTTAAATTTCGGGATTATATTTTAAGAATAGTGCTGTTGAAGAATGCATTTATTTTCATTATCATATTTGATTTTTTTTTCCCGGAAACTGAAAGGAATTAAAACTTTAAAATATATATAGTTAATATTTCCTAATTTATTTTGCCAAAATTTTAATTTTTAAACAAAATTACTTTTTGAAATATCCTGGTCCGAAAATTATAAAGGCTGCTGCATTCACCTTAATATACCAACATACAGGGTGTTTCAAAATGCATGAGACAAATTTCAGGAGGTGATTGCTCGTATGAAATTAAGATGGGTATTTCCTATAACAAAATTTCCTCAGCCCACCTCTTTCCGAGATATCACCCTTAAGAGGTGGTGACTAAAATTGAGTTTCTATTTTTTTTTCTAAAATTTCAGTAAAGCTAGAAACTTGAAATTCTGTAATTTTCGTGCACTCGCAAAGGACTAACCACGGTTATTTTTTCAATATTTCTGTTACATTATAGGGGGGTGAAATTAGCAACCCTTACTTTATTTCATATCAAAATTTTTATTCGAGATGAAGTTTTGTGAAATAATTTTGTAACTTGAAATACTTGTTTTATTTAAAAATTTTTTTCCAAAACTACCTTCATAGAAAAAAAAACTGTTTTCCACTCAATTTATTTAAAAAAAAAAAGATAAATTAGGGTGTTAATTTTTTTTTCTGAAGCTATTGGTTTTGGGAAACAATTCAAGAATAAAAAAAAATTAAATAAAACAAGGATTTCATAAAAGTTCATCTCGAAAAAAAGTTTTGATATGAAATAAAGTAAGTGTTGCTAATTTCACCCCCCTTATAGGTAACATAAATATTGAAAAAATACCCGTGGTTAGTCCTTTGCGATTACAGAATTTCAAGTTTCTAGCTTTACAGAAATTTTAGAAAAAAAAATAAAAACTCAATTTTAGTCACCACCTGTTAAGGGTGATATCTCGAAAAGGGGTGGGCTGAGGAAATTTTGTTATAGGAAAGACCCATCTTAATTTCATACGAGCAATCAGTTCCTGAATTTTGTCGCATGTATTTAGAAACACCCTGTATATTACACATTTTTTTAAGCGGGCAAAATTCTTGACAATCTCTTTTCCCTAATTGGCACATGTCGTATTTCTCTAGGATTTACTAACTCTGGCAGCAAACAAATAAAATAGAAATTTGTCAGCTGTGCATTTTTGCGTTCCAGAATTTTTCATTTCATAAATTAACTAAAAACTAAATTAAACAAAAACCTAACAACGCCTCGACAACAAACTAAGACGATCACAATAATTTCGCATCTCTTCAAAAACAACTACCTATTTTTCGACACAGGAATTAACAAATTTAACTAAACAGCAGCTACCCTTTTAACCACGGGCTTCATAGACTAGCAGCGTTGCCATATTCACTGGTATCATTGTTTTAATAGAATTAGTATCGGAATGAAAACTATGTTAATCTTCGGTCCTGTTTAAAATTGGTAATCTTTTTGAAAAAAAGTTATTTAGAAAATAGTTAAGATATTTGTTATAGAATGACGCTAAAGAGCCAAAAAATTAAATTTGTTAAATCGTTGAAATTTTTGTTGTTTTTCTTTAAAAATATAAGTTTTTCGCGGTTTAGTGAAATTCTTGGTTCATTTTTACGATTGGCTTGAACCATTTTTTTTTACAATTTTTTTTAACTGCCTCAAATGTAAAATTGATTTTTGGCGGAGGAGCGCCCGTCATGTTTGCTCTTAATAATACGATTCTAAGATTATATTTAGCATGGCAGACATTTTCCAAGGTTCAACATTTCGGCAGATAACCAATTGTTACTGCTGGCGCGAGCATATGCATGTATGATACTGTCACACTCCTTCTAATCCAAGGATTATTTTGCTTTCTCTAGTTAACGTTAGGGCTTATACCTCAGTCATGTTATAACAAATAACGAAACCTCTAGCGTAGTAACGGTTTTGTCTAATATTCTCAGAGTATTTTTCTGACATATATATTTGATGTTGTGAAGTTGCATTTGGTTTTTAACCGACTTCAAAAAAGGAGGAGGTTCTCAGTTCATCTGATTTTTTTTTTATGTATGTTTAGCGATAATTCTTTACCACGTTGTCCGATTTCTATGATTATTTTTTTGTCAGAAAGGGGACACGATTTTAGAGTCGATTTTTTAAAATTATTTAATTGTATTGATCTAAATATTGAATTTTTTGTTAATTTGACATTATGTCAACTGGCTGAACTAACAAGTCCCCATCTCATGTACGGCAGATATAATAGGGTAAACGAAAAATATATAGGGTTTTACAAAATACCGTCTGTCTGTAGGTCACTGGCTCTTAGACTATAATAATTGATTTTTATTACAACAACAACTTAAATGTTTTGTCATGGCTAACAAAAAGTCCTGACTAAGCCCCATTGAAAATATATGAAGCTTCATAGTCAAAAAGATCTATCAAAAAGATTTTATACCGACAAACCGCGGTCAATCATAGATTCCTACGACATGGGACCTTTAATCTTGTCCATGCCAAAAAGATTGGAAATTGTTATGGCAGCCAATGGCTCTGCAATAAAATATTAATAACACTATTCTTGCATTAAGCGTTAAATTTCGAGGAGAGCATTCTCTTTATTTTGAAAGATCTGCTCAATCTTTGTTGTTCTTGCCAGCATTTCTTAACGTAAAATATGCAACTTTTACTGGCATTTAATTCAACACTCACTTCACTTAAAGACAAATTTTCGTCAAATTTTGCTATAGCCTTTGATTTTATCTTGTGTAAGCATACTCTTCGAGCCGTCCATGAGCAGTGTTTACAGATGCGCCACTCACTGGAAAAACTGTAAAATAAAGGGGGAGAGAGAGAGGGAGAATCGCCATGACTTATAGAGCGAACGTTAATTGACATTTTCAAAAGTTAATTATCATTTTAGAAAATTGTTAGTATTATTCTGTTAGTAATATTGTGCAACGGTATTGCTTATTAAATTCACATATATTGCTATCCAGTACCGTTTTCCTTCACAATACCTAACTGCCGCCTTCATCCCGCATTCATCCCATAAATCATCATCTGTAATCATGCAGAATCCTAAACCCACCTTACACTTGTAATAAATGTAGTTTTATATGTTCAAATGTTAATTTAATTTTGCTATAGCCTTTGATTTTTTATTAGGTTTGTAGGTTTATATGCCTAGATGTTCATTAATTTTGTAATAAATAAACAGTTTTTGTAATTTTATATTCTTTTAATTTTTTTATTGTACATTTACTGTAGATAAGACCGATTCGACAAAGGCACTAATAAAAGTAATATATTTCCTCAATATTCTCCCTTCTCTTTGTAACACGTCATTTGACAAAGTCACACTTACAGGAATGAATTTCATTAAAAAAATCTCATGATAACCAAAGATTGTTCACATTTGGGTTGCGCCGACTGTACAATGAAGGAACATAAATGTTGAATCAGTTCTACAGTGATTGTTTTTATATATTATTTTTAAAGAAAATCCATTAGATTCAAACAGTTTTGTGGTTAGAGATAATGTTACCTGTCAACAATTCTCAAAACAATTGATAGTAAACAAAATATCTACTTTTTCTAGGAAAGCGCGATTTCCTTTGTCAGTACTGTCCACAGCGCTTTGGTAGAAAAGATCATTTGGTGCGTCATATAAAGAAGTCACACAACAACAAATACAGAGCTGAGGAGACAGTAACCACTGCCACCACCATAAAAACTGAACCGAAGGATCCAATGATAGTTCCTGAAACTTTAATAAAAACAGAATTTCCAGAAAGTAGTAGACTTTCAAATGCACCAGAAACATTTACCTCCGGTGATTTAGGTCTACCACTGATAGAGGGCGACTTGACACCATTTTTAATGAGTGAAAATTTATTAACTTCTGTACCACTGAAAGATCTAGGTAATATTTTTGTTAATATTTTTTTTTTTAATTAGTTTAGTATTTTGAATTTGCTGAAGTAATTCAGAGTGTACGCCGTACTTACAAGTATTACATACAAGTGACCCTTTCACCTTATTTTGTTGTATTGTATTTGGTATATTTTCACACTAGAGATCCAAAATATTGCAACAAATATTTTTATTACAAAAATGTATTTATTTGTTTATTGAACAACATATGAAAAATCCATATTACAATTAAAAATAAAAATATACAAAAATAATTTAAAAGTTAATACATAAATTTTTAAATCAAATTACAAGTGTTAAGTAATAATTATTTTTATTAATATTATTAAATATCAATAAAAATCATTAGAAATGAATGAATATTCAAAATATCAAGACAGTTTATTCCTTGCAACGTTTCTAAAGCTATAGAAAGATAATGAATTTGCCTTTCTATGCATCCTTGTTACAGGACTAAACAATCCATAATTAGTTTTGTGAAATAGAATTAAAAATAAATCATTTTGACCAGTATACCTTACTGGTATCTAAATCGAATGGATTATAAAAGTTCGGAGTAATAATTAATAGATCCTGAAATTACTTTATGCAAAAATAATAAATCTAGACATTTAAGATCCATTAAGTTTAATAAAACAACCATAGTTTCCAATTGCTAAATCTGATCAGAATGCACAATATCTCAGAAATTTGTGTTGAACAGACTCTACAGATATAGGTAATTAAAATACAATTATGATGGTTTATATTATTTATACTATGATAACAGGCTAATAGGTCATCAATTTAAATTGAAAAAAAAAATCATAGGCCTAAATACAAACAGGATCTTTGAAGTATGGAGCATCTTCCCAATGATGTTATAGACTCCACATCAATAAACTTGTTTAAAAATAGACCTTTTTATGAACAATTAATTATTTTAAAATCTTATTAATTTAATATTGTTTAAGTCATTGTTAATTGTTAGACTACATGCATTTCTCAAATTAAACATCCGGCCCTGCGTATGAGAAAACGCTTGCATATTGCCGTTAAAACCAAGATAAATAATAATAATAATAATAAACCGTCTTTATTAATAATTTTTCAAAATGTTACAAAAATGTTAGTAATGGAGCGAGATTTAGCCATAGGCTATTCTTACATTTAAGTCCTCTTAATTTATAACATAGAAAGTTGTAAGATATATTAAAATGTTAAAATAAAATACATATATAAAACGGTAGAAAACATATAAAACTAGTAAAATTAAAATAAATTTAAATTTTAATAATAGGAAAATACGTAATAATTGTTGGCTTGCTGTTGGAGTAGGAGTTTTTAAAATGTTTAAAACTTGATAGAGAATAAGTATTTTTTAGATCATCTTCTATTTCATTATAAAGTTTAATGGCATTGTACGTAAAACTTCTAACAAAAATAGCAGATGTGTGTTGTGGCATTGTTAGTGTAAATTGTCTGAGGATATTTACATTGTGAATCTGATTACGAGAAATTAATTTAGTTGACAAATATGGTGGATTTTGAGATTTTAGTATATTGTGAACAAAAGAGAGAAGATAAGTTTTTGATGTTTAACCATTGCAGCTGCCTAAAATATGTTAAAATGTTATCATATTTGCGCAACCCATAAATAAAGTGACAGTGGGTATTTTGAATTTTTTGCAGTCTGTTCGCAGTTACTAAATCTAAACAAGGATAGCAAATTACTATGCAATATAATATTTTACTCAATATTAGAGTTTCGCAATGGTATTTTTTCATTTGTTGTGACAATATATACTTATTGGCAAATAATAATTTTAATGTTAAATAACACTGAGAAGAGAGGTTATTCACATATTCAATAAACCGCAAGTTCTCATCTACAAGTAAACCCAGACTTCTAGCTACATTTACACACGGAACTGTCTCGTCCTCAATTTTAATTCATATATTTCTTTTTATACTTCAACGTGAGTTAGTATTTGAAAATAAAATTAATAGAAGCATTCAAATACAAGTTATGGTTTACAGAATATGTGTTTATTCGTGATAAATCAGCGTTCATTATATTCTGTGCTGCATTTGAATTATTATCATCAAAAGTGTGATATAATTGAGTATCATCAGCAAAAAATTGGACCCTGCACGTTTCTATTTGTTTGTTTAAATTAGACGTATAAATAAGGAATAGCAAAGGCCCTAAAATGGGACCCTGCGGAACTCCTGATTGAATTGATAGAAAACTTTGTGATTGACCATTTAGTAAAACTTTTTACGAACGATTATTAAGATATGTTTTTATAAAAGAAAGTGGCTTTTCAGAAAAACCATAATAATTGCATTTAGAAATTAATAAAAGGTGATTTAAAATATCAAACGCTTTAGTATAGTCAAGTAATACTAGTGTTGTAGCTTGTTTTTGATCCAATCCCGACATTACTGAGTCCGTTAAGTGGCAAAGAGCAGTGGTTGCCCTTTTCGAAATCCCGATCGATCCAACGGAAATATATTATTGGATGAAAGGAATTAATAGATTTGCTCATACACTATTCTCTCCAAAACTTTAGAGATAATAGGAAGTAAACTTATAGGACACAATTCATTAAAAGGCGTTGGATTTGTTTTTTTTTTTTTTTAAGAGGTACCACGACTGCTTTTTTCTATTGATCTGGAAAATATCTGCTTTCAAGGCAACAGATCACAATGCGTAATATAAATAGAAATCCTGTCATACAAAGTTTAAGCATTTCTAAAGATATATTATCTACGCCACTGAAATTCGATTTTATTGCTCCTATAGTTTTGGAGTTGGTGTCAACATCAACAAGGCTAAATTCAAATGTTTTATTAAAGTTAAATAATTTATTTGTTCTGTAGTACGCAATTTTTTCAAAGCAGTTTTCATTACTGTTTTGCAAAACTGAGATAAAGGCATCGTTAATTTTATATGGATCAGCTAATTCGTATGGTATGTCATTATTTTTAGAAGCTTGTGTATTCATCATTTTCAAAGTTTTAAAAAATATGGATGTACCTTGAGCACTTATGACGAAGGTAGGCAGCTTTTTCATTTCTAGTAGAAAGGAGCAAAATTTCTGAGCTGTTTATAGTTATTCCAAAATTCTGGCGTTTTTAGGTGCTTAAAACGAGACGGTGCTTTATTTTGTTCATTATATATCAGTTTGAGATTTTCTGTTAGCCAGGGAGATCGAGGTTTACCGACCCTTATTGTTTTATACGAACAGTGAGTATCAAATAATTTAGTAATATTATTAGTAAGAAATCTGACTTTGTTTTCTTTACCTATTACAGTAACTATATCAAGCCAATGTATATTATTTAATTGATTATTAAAAGCATGCATATCTAAGTTTTTAATATCTCTAAAGGTAATAAACTTTTGTCGATTATTTACACATTCAAATTTTAAAACACAATAAACAAACCTATGCTCAGAGAAAATATCAGCGTTTAGAGTACCACTTACTAAACAAATTTTAGATTTTTCAATATAGATAGGATCTAGCAGTGTAGATGAGGTTTTTGTGATGCGTGTAGGCTCTAAGATGACTTGTTTTAGTCCATAGGCTTCAAAGCAACGATTGACGTTATTGTCAGCGTTACTTAAATCGATATTTAAATCACCAACTACAAAAATATTATCAAATTGCGGCACAATTGATGTAAACATATCATCCAGCAAATTAATAAAATTTGGCCCAGATTCCTTCGGTGGTCTATATAAAATACCAACTGAAACACATCTGCTGTTAATTTTTATTTTAACCCATACTCAAAATCTACACTTTGCCCAGATGTGACAGTTTGACAGTGATATTTACTTTTGACAAAAACTCCAACTCCACCGCCACGGCTATTTCTTTCATAGCGAAAAAATGATATCCATCAATATGTATAAGAGAAGATGGTATATAAGTTTTAAGCCACGTCTCTGACACAGCTTCAATATCAAAATCTTTATCAAGGACATTAGTCGAAAAGTCATTAAAACCAGCTAAGATCGATCGAACGTTAATATGTCCAATTTTTAAAGTGTTATGCTTATAGATATTCTTTTTATTCATACTTTATATTAACTTTTAGATTAGATATAAATTTTGAATAATTTGATATTTACTTGTATCTTTGGCAGCGTGGTTACAATCTAAGCTGGTTTTGTACTATTATAAATAAAACAATTACTACATTTCTTAAGAAATCCCGAAGCATCTCCTACCTAGCCAGTAGCAACTTTTATCTTACTTCAACTCAATAAAGATATGTAAACAAAACTTCCTTGAACCGTTTGCATCGTTGTCGCTAGGAAGACGAGTCCATTATACAAAAAGCCAGGGATAGTTCTATATACAATTGGTCACAATCTGATCTAGGAGAAAATTAAAATCTCAATTTTTAAGAACATCTGCAAGATTTTGAAGTCGGTTTTTTAAAATTATTTTTGTAACTTGTAGATTATCTATGATCAACTACATTCAGAAATAAATTTTAATTTTTATTGTCTAATTTATTTTGCCAAAATTTAAATTTTTTAAAAAAATTACTTATTGAGATATCCTTGTCCGAACATTATAAGGGGTGCTGTAAACACCTTAACATTTTAATTCTATTATTTTCAAGATTGTATTATTTTATTTTAAGATTAGAAATAATTTGGTTACATACCTTTAAACTACTTTTTTACAACCTTCAAGCAATATTTTAAAAAACTAACAACATATATGTCAAAGTCAATTATATTGTTTTTGTTAAAAGTTACCTGTGAAAGAGGAAAAGAGGCAAGGTATTTCGACTTATTACTTTTGATTTTAGGTAGTACCATCTTAGAGGGCATAGAAACTGCTCCTGTCGTTTCCGAAATGCTCATCACTGAAAATATAGATGCTAGTCAAGGTGTTTTGGAAGAGGATGAGGTACTGTTAAAAAATCCTGAGTTACTATTACTGGGAACGACTGGTGACAAAAATTTACCCTTACCTGGATTCAGTCAGACATTTCAGTCGCCCCCACCTCCAGGTCCTCCCCAGTAAATTAAATAAAAAAAGGTTTGTTCTTTGTCAAGGGTTGGTTTATATTTTATATCATCTTACGCAGCTACCAACAGTTAAATACATATTTAATTTTTTCATTGATTTAATTATGTTATTTCTATGTTTCTATACTTTTTTAAAAGGAATATATTTATATTTACAAGGCAGTCTAGAATTATAGGTGGGCCAATTATTTCCTCTCTGAACATGTAGCCAGAATAAAAGATTTTGAAAAAAGTTTAAATACAGCACAAAGAATTTACATTTTTAAAATAATTTCATCTATGCAGAGTAGTCTATAATCAAGATTATTTTTGTACTTTTTAAATTTAATTTATCTTGTAATAGTCTCTACGGCCAAATTTTGTTTAGAAGAGTATCCAACTGCTCTTATGTGGTTATTTTATGTAGTAATGTGTGATTTAGTGTTATTTTATTGTATAAAAGTAGCTTGTTTGGGGCTGAATAATATCGAATTGGATCTTTTTCCAAATCTTCTAGTTTAGCTCCGAGCAGATATAATTAGCCTACCCCGTATATCGCAATTGCTAAAGCTAATAGTACATTCAAAAATATGAGTACCTTTTCATATAATCTCAGTAATGTATATTGAGGGAGTTGCAACCCTCCAAAGGGGTGTGACGATAAATATTAATATATTTTAAAGACACTTTTGCGATTTGAAAGTAAGTATATTTTTTATGATAACAGGATTTTTCGATAACTATGTGAGCAAGTTTTGTTCTACAAGAAAACATTTTATTCTGTAAAATATTTATTCCAACGATATTTCAAATTAGCAATGCCTTCTGTATCTGTAATGTGCGGAGGGTGGGTTACCCCCCACGGCACTTAGGCCTCATTAGGCCCATTGTGCATCCTCCTGAGATGATAGGCACCTCCTAGCTCGTGAGCCAGCCCACAGATTTAATGTAGTTGACAACGTCGCCAAGAGGTGCTTCTCTTATATCATCAGCCGGTGTTAGCCGATACTCGCCGAACACAAATCTTCTAATAAATGAAAGCATCGGGCAATCGTAAAGGATATGCTCGATGGTCTCATCTTCTTGTTCGCACCCTCTGAAGAGTGCGGATTCTGACAGCTCCATGATATGGAGATGCTTTCGTACTTGGCAACGACCCGTCAGAATGCCTGTGACTAGGCGCAGATTCTGTCTAGTCATAGTCAAGTATTTGTTTGCTGGAGTGTTGTCAAGATAACTTAAGAGCTCCCTGCCAACTCTGCAGTTTCTTGTTTCATCCCATCTTTTCTTGAATTTCACAAGGGAATGTTCTTTGATTAGGTCAGGCCAATAGAAGGGCCAGGTCCAAAAAGTATTTGGTTGGCTGCTTTCTTGGCTAGTGAATCAGCAAGACGGTTACCTTTCGATGTGGCGTGACCTTTGATCCATCTTAAGGTGACCACATTGTTGATGGATACTTCGGCCAAAGCTTCGTGACATTCTAGTACTAACCCTGAGTAAATTCGTGATCTGTTCAGGGCGAGTAGTGCTTGTCTGCTATCTGTATAGATGAGCATGTTCCTCCCAGTGATATTCTTTCTGGTTATTTCTTTTGCTGCTATGAGAATCCCCGTTAGCTCTGTTTAAACTCAGCCCATTTTGTGTTTAGGTTTAAGAATCTGGAGTATATTCCACATCCTGAGCCTTGTTTTGTTTTAGAACCGTCGGTGTAGATATAAATCGTACCTGCCACTTCCGGCTCTTCTATTTGTTCTATTATAACTTTATATGGCTTATGGAAGATATATCTCGGTGTAGCAATGCCTTCATTGTAGTTCGATGATACCTCGGGATTAGATGAAAATCTCTTACCACCGAGCTATTTTTTTAGGTTTGGAAACTGGTGATAATCACAGAGCCAAATCTGTAAAATAGGGCGAATGTTGCACTAATTTTAATCACATTTCATGAATTTTGGCAATTGCAAAGTGGGCAGTTGTGTTATCCTGATAAAAAAGCACTTTCTTCTATATCAAATTTGGCCTTTTCTATTTGATTTTGTCGCAACAAAGTGGCATAATACTTGCTATTTATTGTTTTCCTTCTAAGTAGTTGGCCCAGATAATTCCATGAGAATCCCAAAACACAGTTTCCATAACTTTACCTGTTAACAAAGCCGTTTTTGCCTTCTTTGGTGGTGAAGAAATTTTGTTCCACTGTTCAAATTCCGCACACATTCATTTGAACTACCCACCTATATCTGCTATATTTTGCACTTTTACTCGACGGTCATCCAATATATTATATATTTCAATCTTAACCGGGGCAGTAGCAGTGTTTGGACGTCCCCTACGTGGTAGCATACCCATTTTTAACTTTTCGAGTATATCAAGTAAAAATTTTTAAGTAATAATAGGATAGTCTAGTAAACCTGCATCATAAGCTTTGAAATACTAGAAATTTGTGTCTTATCAATAATACAATAGGTTTGTTCCAACATAAACCAAATCAGTTTGCGTACTGTCGGGATTCTGCGCAGTCTAGAATTTGTGTTCCAACAAACCTTAGACTCGAAACTGTACAAATACATAGTGTTCCAACAGAACCAAAACTAATCACAAACCGATTTGTGTAATGTCAAATCAGTTTCTAGGTCTGAATAGGAACGAATTGTCAAGACATGCGCAAAGCCGCAATAAACTGAACATATCGTGATTGTAATTAATATATTATTTGTAACTATTGTCTCTGACAGTTCTGATTTGTATTTGTTAATCGAGTTTACTCTTTATAGTTTTTGTTCATGATCATTTATTTTATTTTGTGTTTTATTATTGTAATAATGCGTCTGTTGAATTTAAAAAATATGTTCCAACATAATCGACTTCCGAGTTGAGTCCCAATCCCCGACTAGTACCTGACAAGTTGTCAATTTCTAGTCATCGACAGATTGTCAACAATAAGTTTTGGACTGGTTTATGTATTGTTCCAAGATCGTTGTTGGAACAAACCTAATACATATCGTGAGTATACATTTTTAATAATGGCCAAAAAGATCTACTACAAATGTTTACACTTTACATCCCTTTAAAAAGCCACATCTCCCTAAACATTGACATTTAAAAAATAAATATGAAAAGGTACCTATGGAATCTTTATAAGGGGTATATCCCATCAATAAATAAATACGAATTCATGAAAATATAATTTTAAAATAAATTGTATGTCATGACATGTATATAAAATTGTAAATTCTAAAGTCATAATTATTATAAACAATATTTTGTTTCCCTCGCGATGAGTTCAACCTTTTGTCTTCGCTAGAACTGCCACGAAAGGTTATCTAAATGATGACGGCAATTTAATGTGTATGACGTAATGAAAATGAAAATGAAAAAGATATGTAGTGCAAGTATGTCGCTACATACCTCCCCCTTATATAAAAAATGTATTGTCAGTCATCAAAAGTCGATAAGGTGTTGATTGTTGCATATTTCTATATCTACGAGTACCTTCACCTTAATCAAAACAAAATTTTAATATGACTGTATATGTATATGTCAGTATTTTCTATAAATAATGTTGTATTTTAGATCGTGTTCTGGATGAATTATCCATTCTTTGATTATCGAAATTGCCCCGTTGTTAAGTGTTTAGTAATTCTATGTTATCTAGCAGGTTCTTTCTATTATATAAAGAATACTGCCATTGATACAATTAAGAATTACCATACTATTAGGACAGTTAGTGTCCTAAATAGAAAAACACCAACGATAAGAAGGCATTAACAGTTAAAAATTTCTACGATCTAATAAAAAGTAATGTTAATCATGACGTACAAATAGAAATATTTTTTGTTTTTTTTTTTTTTTTTTTTTTAAAGTATTTATTCTTTAAATATCAATGTGTAAATGTGCCTATTTGGTAAGTTAAAATTTCCTTTTCATTCAGTTATTTGTTTTTTATCAATGTGCAAAAAATGTACCTATTTGATAAGTTATTTGTTTTTATTTAGTAATTACTATTATGCAGACAGGTTCTTCCTTATGCGAAGAATACTGTCAATACAAGATATAAGTAAATACTGATTTTATTGTTCTTTTTGGACAATTATGGTCCTTAATAGAGTAAAAAATATTAAATATACTAGTTACATGTAGTTGGACAATTAAGGTCCTTAATAAAAAATGCTAGTTGCATGACTTCGGTTATGTAGTGCTCATTTGCGTTTCGTTAATTTGTACGTTATTTTCTTAATTAAGTCGTCATAATTAGAATTGGTCATTTGTAGAGTTTATTAAATAAATAGTCGGTTAAAATGCTTTTTACATGGTCAAAAATATGAAAATAATGTCAAAAATGATAACTAATGATAGAAAAAATGAATATTTTCAATTCGTGGCAGTCAGCGACAAAAAGATTAAACTCACCGGATTTAATGTATCTGGAGTCCAATCCACGTATCTTGTTCGGAACTTTTCGGAATTTTCCGGACGCGTACTGGATCTACATTTCTTCTTAGTAGGGCCCGTTAAAGAATCCGGGTTATCGGGAACCGCAGCAGGCTCAAAAAACCGAGGTACGGCAAAAATAAAGCCGTCGCTAACGCGTACTACCCATAAGTATCTCACCAACAAATGGTATCAGATAGATGTATCCTCAAAATCTTTGAAGGTCGGGCATTCTACGGGGTCACCAATTATGGGATCTTTAATTATGGAATCTTTATAAGGGGTATATCCCATCAATAAATAAATACGAATTCATGAAAATATAATTTTAAAATAAATTGTATGTCATGACATGTATATAAAATTGTAAATTCTAAAGTCATAATTATTATAAACAATATTTTGTTTCCCTCGCGATGAGTTCAACCTTTTGTCTTCGCTAGAACTGCCACGAAAGGTTATCTAAATGATGACGGCAATTTAATGTGTATGACGTAATGAAAATGAAAATGAAAAAGATATGTAGTGCAAGTATGTCGCTACAGTACCCCAATTTTTGAATATACTATAAGCACTATAACAATTATGGTTTATAATTCTGAACCACTTGTACAAATCAAATTTAGACCATAATATCACTGCTGGAAGTTATAATTATGTGAATGAATTCTTTTATTTTCACTCAGTATTAGAATATACAACATAAAAATTATTTAAAATTTGGTCAAAGAACATGTATAAGTCTGTAATTAAAATGCATAAAGCTTCGATATCTTCTGTTATATCTCTAACTTTATATTAGACAAAATTATTTTCGAAATATTTGCTCCAGCGTGAAAAATAGATCGGGAAGTATTTTTGTGTTTTAATATTTTGGCATTTTATTCGATATAATTTCGAATATAAAATTAGAGGTGTGATGCATATTCACGAAGCATTTTTTAACAAGTTCCATGCGTGTAAATCTTAAAAGATAGAACCGTTAATCCAAAGAAAACAGACTTGGATGATGATGGCATGATTTGTCAATCCCATTTTGAATTTTTACTGGAATTAGTAAAATTCAAATAAATGAGGTTATGTTTCAGAAAATCATTAACATCATTAAATATTCGTTAATATTTTTCTGAGAAACATTTATGAAATCAACAGAAAAACATGTAAAGAATGTCAGTTTATGAAGATTAAAAGTTTTTAAATAACAGTTCATGAAATATCTCGCAACTCTATTGTATATTCATTATAATGACATTTACATCTGTAACCCTTTCGGTTCGACTCGATTCTAAATACTTCTTGCCGTGCGGCCGGGAAAATTTGCGTCACCAAAAAAAAAAAGGAAGTATATATACTTAAGGAATGACAATTCAATTCCTATCCATTTTTTTAATAAATATAATGTTTAAGAGAAATATTTAACAAAATAAAAGGAAATTCTTACTATTTAAACTAATTTGTTAACTCTTATCTAATTTTTTTTTTTTTTCAATAAAACACGTTTTTGAAACAAATATCAGGAAATATGTTAAAATTCTGCCTCTTCATGATATATTTGAAAGCACGGGACCTCACATAATCCCACGTTACATTCTCGACACATAAAACTTGTCTCCTTTCTTTTTTTAAAACTTCCAATATCTTCTACATCTCACTTTGGTACTTCCTTCTTTCCCTGGAACCTGGGTTGGAAAGTTGGTTAAGTCTGGCATTGCCCATATCATAATGCAATGTTTTTATTTGTTTTGATTGGTATCTGTAAAGAAAACAAAAATAACACCCTGTTACGTATGTTTTCGAAATAATAGTGCGTTCATGTAACTACACACACGCATCACTAAAAATTCGAGCAAAACTGATAAACATTAAATATACATATATCACAAAGTTACCTTTCTAACTGCTAGGTGAAACTTGGCAAACGGAACTTTCTCAGTAGTTCTAGTGGAATACATTACATGGGCGTTTAGCAGAGTTATGTCAACTACATGAAAAAAGAACTTTTTGTACCACTTCAGGCATTTTCGAGTACAGTCAACGCTACTGATCATCATGTCTGATCTGTCAACAGCACCCATTTTGTTGTTATACTCCAGAACACACAGGGGCTTCTTAACATTTTCGTTGGTATGTCTGTATATTTTGGACAAAGTTACCATTTTATTTTCATGCATGCTACTGAGCATCACCACCTATAAAAAATAATAAACCTTTAATATTAGTACAATCGCCAGAAAAAATACAAAACATTACGTCTCGCTGATCTTTCCATTTTATGGCTAATAAATTGTTACTGCTTCTCCAGTTTCACCTGTTCTTAGTTTCTGGTCGAATATGGGCATGTGCTTTCTGTTTTGTCTAACTGTTCCACACGAATTAGTCTTATTGTCAAATAACATGGTTGCTAAGGAAGGACTGGTATAAAAGTTGTCGGTATAAAGAGAATGTCCTTTGTTGAGATATGGCTCAATAAGCTTTGCAACAATAGTCCCTGAGGTGCCAATATCATTCTTCTTATCAGTTTTTATGTTCGTCTCTGCGCCTGTCTTACAATCACACAGCACGTATAGTTTAATACCAAAGCGGTGTTTCTTAGTTTTAATATAATGTTTAAAACTTAGTCTTCCTTTAAAAAGAACCATACTTTCATCTATGACTAGATTTTCAAAGGGGTAAACCTGGTTCTGAAAATTTTCTTTTAGTTTATTCAGTATAGTTTCAATTTTGAACAACTTATTAGGCAGGGAGTTTTCGTTCTCGCAAAAATGCAAATATCTTTGTATTTCAAAATAACGGTCTCTTGACATATGTTGCCTAAACACAGGAGTACGAAGTAAATTATCTTAAGACCAATATTTCTTCAGTTTTAGTTTTTTGTCGCGGGGCATCAGCAATGTTATTGCAAAAAATACGTAACCTGTTGGTTTCTTCTGCAATAATATCTACAACATTCTGTGTGAACAAATTAAGAAAGTAACCCATTTCTTTAGATTCTTCGTTAAGATTTCCATTTTTCAAACCGCTATTGGTGTCGTCAAATTCGTGTATTTTAAGAATAAATTCGTTGTTTGTCCAGATTATTTCCAACTCGGCTTGATGAGTCACATAGGTTGTTTCATTCTCTGCCTCTTATTGTTCGTTTTCTACAGCTACACTGTATGTTTCATTCTCTGTCTCTTGTTGATTGTTTTCTACCTCGAATTCTTTTGAACTTGGATTGTACTAACTACCGCTGTCAATGAAGGGATCGTCTTCACTAATGTCAGATAAATAATTTGCGTTTTCGACAGTCTTCAAAATGGCCCTAACTTCCTTTTCATTTAAACCACAATAAGCATCAAAATCTACTTTGCGTTTTTCGGTCCTCTTAGGACCCCGAGACGGACCCGCGCCCTCGTCCTACATATTACAAACCGGTACTAACGTTCATCGAGATGCCTATGCAGCAGAATATTCTAGAGAGCCAGTGTCCACTTTGTCTCCCAAGCTTCCGCATGCGCAAAAATTGTTGTTTGTCTGTATTAAAGTGATACAGGAACCTGTGGAACGTTTACCTTGTTTGATAAATAATAGTTTTTGGAGGTTATAAACTGAAATAAACTTAAATTAATATTACTATAAAACCCTATAATTTATATTCCCATGGCAAACTAACAGTGACATAGAATCTAAAGAAGCAAACATA